AGTGACTACAATGTCGTTAAGTATTTACAAAGATATGAGGAATGGAAATTTAATCGTTCTCTGCTGTTCCATTTGTAAATGATAGACTTACCATTTTCTACATGTATTTTTCTTACTTCTTTTTCATATACAACATCTGTACCAACAACAAAGGTCTACTTTTCTTCGAAGTTCATATTTCCGCTATTTTTCAATCTCCTGTAATCGCTAATTGAAAGTCATTCTATTGTTATTGTTGAATATTTATTGTTTAAAGTAGGGTTGCAACAATACGCTGCGCTACGATATGATACAGTATCTTGTCCTAGCCCAACGATATGGGTGCAACATGATACACGCTTTTACTGTGAAAATGTTTATTAATAGATAAAATAAAATGAATACTTAACCAATATTTTTGGGACTTTGTTACTCAAATTGAATTAAAATACACAATCTCTGATACAAAATTAAGTAATTACACAGAAAAAAGTCAGGTACACATACATGAATACAATCCTGTGAACCGTTATAGGGTATGCCATGTGTTGCAGACTGAAATTTCCTTATTAACTTTCCTGTTGCCTTTTACGAAGATAACAGAAAATCAAAATGGTCCCACACTTTTGACCGATAAGATGCTGGTAGTTTTTCGATCTCGACTTCACAAAGTATAATTATTACTGGACGTGGACATAGTCAAAAGAAAAATACCGCCGAAAGTTGAACAAATTTTTAAATACTTTTTGTAAGGGCCACCGGCATCGCGAAGATGAAATGAGTGTCCAATACGATTTAATTGGTGTAAAATCGATGGCGTCCTATATTTTGTCCAATGGAAAATATTGTCTTATCAAGTTTCTGGGTCGTATTTTTCACGAGATTAGTAGGTCAGTTTTTGCAATGATATGAAGTCTGGATGGCCGGGACATTATTCTAGGTTCAATTATTCTACCGGGATTTGTCTTTACACTGAGCTGATAAGTAATTTTACGTCCTACTGCCCAATTTATTGCATAAATATCACGATACTAACAACCAACAAAAGTCTTGTCTTCATTTAGTCAACAACGAAGATCTAAGAAAATACACAAGAAGTGCACTTGAATTTTGTTGGTTGTTAATATTTCTCTTTTCTTTGGTTAACAATAATCAACATAACTTAGAGCAGACAATTAATGTAATAATTATTGGTTCAATGCTTAATAGTAAATAAGATCCAATGCGGATATGGGAATTGACATAAACTTGTGTCTCCAAATATCCAAATTAAGGTAAATCAAGTCTGTCCTTTGGGATGTGATCTGAAGTTGATCTCCTTGTGACAGTTTTCTAGGAAACTCTGTCTAATTCTGTTATTTGGGTCTATATATCTCCATGCATCGCCTAGAGCATTAATCCTACAAAATTGTCGTGTATGCAAACAATACACCATGGTAACTTAAAATGCTTTAGCCCGTAGACGTTAATTGCAATTTATAAGGTCAATTTAAAGTGTAAAACAAAGAATACTGGAGACAGGTGATTAAAGACAATATGAAATATATATGATATATATGGAGGTTAATTAAGGTGGAGTAAGGTTCATTAAAATATACTTCACCGAATTGAGTAATACTGTGCGGATTAGCACGACGAATTAAACATTTACAATCGGGTCGTAATTCACCCTAATACAGTATCCCATTTTCGAGCATCTTACTTACCCTGGTATACATTACAAAGATACACTCCAATAAGTAACCACAAACAAATAAGCTCACTTTCGTATATTTTTTATGAAATAAAGATATCAAATTAAATTTTAAAAATTTATAAACATATATTTCTTCAAAATAGAAAACAAATATATTCACAACAAAAAATACCAATAACTTTTAACGCCCAATTTTACCCTTAAAACATTATGAAAGATGTATGGCGATGCGATTACTAAGTTAAACGTTAAAGTCGAGTTTATTGACACTGAAAAAAGATTGTAATATTGTTATTCCACAATTAACCGTACTAATAACCGCCAAGAGTCGACAAGAGCGTTTCTTTTGTGAATATTAACCAAAGTATTGCAAAATGTGACCAACAAGGAAAGGTGTGTTATATATATGCACATTGTACACATAATATCCAAAATTTAAAAGATGCCATAAAAATTTGATAAAATTATGGATGATTGAAATTTTAAACTGTCATGCTAATCTCGGACAAGAACCGACACGAGGTTTTTTGTCTGTTGTTGTGGTTTTTCGTTGTTTTGGTACTTGGGCTGTACACGAATAATGCACCTTTCAAAGAAACTTGTGACTATGCAAGGTAAAATTTCCTAGAAACACCTTTTTAAGCACTATATTTTGTTAAGCGACAAGTTTTCCTAATCAGTAAACCACATTGTCAGGCGGAGAGCGGAGACGCATATCAAGCTTCGCCGTACAGACGAGCTACACGACATGATGAAGATCATAAATTCATAGTGCTCGAGAAAAATAGATTATAATTATAAATTATTTTACAAAATGGAAAATGAACTACAAAATTATAAGTTCAAAATTGTAAATTTTAAGTTCAAAAATGTAAATTTCAATTTCAAATAGTAAATTTCCAAAATTGTAAATTTTTTAGTTCAAAATTGTAAATTTTAAGTTCAAAATTGTAAATTTTAAGTTCAAAATTGTAAATTTTAAGTTCAAAATTGTAAATTTTAAGTTCAAAATTGTAAATTTTAAAAACTGTAAATTATTATAAGTTCAAATTTATAAATTATAAATTTACAAATGTATAAACTAATTTACAAATGTATAAACTAATTTTAAACTAATTTACAAATGTATAAACTAATTTACAAAATTATAAATTAATTTACAAAATTATAAACTAATTTACAAAATTATATACTAATTTACAAAATTATATACTAATTTACAAAATTATATACTAATTTACAAAATTATATACTAATTTACAAAATTATATACTAATTTACAAAATTATATACTAATTTACAAAATTATAAACTAATTTAAAAAATTATAAAATTAAAAGATGATTTACAAAATCAAAAGTTATTCTACAAAATCTAGAAATAAAAACAAAAATTAGAAATTATTTTTCAAAATTAAAAATACAACTAGGAAATCGGCCCAAAAAATAAAGTTCGTGTTTGAGCTTCCGTACTATGGTCTGAAGTAATATTGTTCGTGTTACACTGAAATTAATTTATCATTACAACAAAATTCTGGTTTATAAATAGTTTACAATCACGACTGTAAATTCAATTCACTGATCTTCGTTTGGATTTTTCGGACAATGTCTAATATTCCACGGCTATTGGGTGGATTAGAACACCTGCCTCATAACGTTAAACTGGTTAGTCGAGACTTTATACATCATCGTAGCAAAAGACAGGGTATTTAACAAATGGGACTATTAACGTTATATCTTGTCAAACTTTCATAACATAAGTTAATTAAAAAAAATTCAATACATCCATTTTCATTATCTATTTTAAATAAATATAAAAAGAAAGGACGGCTCTTTATTTAAACCTTAACTAATTCAACCTTAATACACGTTCTATTAATGTTCTAAAATTGATTATGTATTATTTAAACATACATTATGCAAGAGCTAAATCTGCCTAATTGCAGGTCTTTCTTAAGGCCTGAAATGTTATGTAAACTATTAAGTAGACTTTTAGTAACATGACATAATTAACACTCGATGTCATCGGATATCCCCGATATTAAGTAGATTAGATCGGTTTAGCCATAGCCATATTTTGATTTTATCTAAGTATGGTGAAGCAAGTCTAAGCTTCGAACAACCAGTGCGGTGATTGCAATTAATGCACACATCTGGTCAAACCTCCAAACGCTTCAATAAATTCATTTTGCATTATCTTTTTTTCGAACTACTAGAATGGCTAGTTCTTTATCTAAATCTTATATAATGTATCTTTAAATAAAGAGTTGACTTTTTTTCTAACGGACAATGAAAATGAATATACACGTATTGAAAATTTCAGTTAACTCAAGTTATGAAAGCAAATTTAAAAAAACCCAAACAAACAATGGTAGCAAATCTACCGGCTTGGATTCAATCTGATCTAAATAACGCCCATGAACAATGGTTGGCGAAGACTATGGGTGGTACTGACTTAAAGTTACAATTTCATATTTTCTAAGAAAGACAAAACATAATTAGTTCTATGTCTTTTGCTCAATAGATTGTCAACTCACTATTATACGATCAAAGGTTATCTTTCTCACACTTAAAAATCTTCACACCGGAAATAATAACACAATTACCTCTCAATAGTTTGAAGTTGAAAATGATATTTTTGCCAATTTCTCAACTGGCAATAGTAAATTATAGGATTAATAGGATTATTCTTTAACAAGGTATAGGACTGTTTATAGATACTATCTATTTTAGGTCTTTATTTTAATACATTTTAAAAATATAACTTAAAAATATGAAATTATAACTTTAAATATATTGACCATATCCTGTTCATATAAATTTTCAATTCACCCAATCAGTGTAAATACTGAAAAGAATACCGAATCCTGTATAGACTGATATACCTTTCGGATATTCTACTTTCACAATATTGTAGTTTAAAAATAATTCGCAATTTTATTAATTTACCAAGCATCTCCACCCCCAGACCTTTACACTTTCAATAAAATTTTGTCATTAAATTTATTACACATAAGCCGGCGCAAAGCCTTGTAAAGTAATGTTGTTGGGTGAAAAACATCTAAGATCAGCAACTTAAAATTAATTAGTCAATGACCTTCGGCCATCCTAAAACATCATAAACTTACACAAATTAATATCTACTGGGCTAATTCAAATTTATCCACTGTACAGCAATTAGATTGCTTTCTAAATATGCAGTGAATATAAACTTGAAATGTAATCAACAAATGCAGTAAATACAACTGATCTTAATTAATAATGATTAAGTAAGATATAATACAAGAAATTATTTTGGAACATTTTTACTTAACATTAATTTACTAGATTTATATTTCATGTAGCACATACACTAGTATTAGTATTATACGATTTTTGGGAAATACTTTTATTGTTAATTCGTTTTTCATTTTGAGAGAAGTCTGTATCACTACAAACCCGGGACTGTACAGCGCAGCGGACGCTTACGGCTGGCCGCGCGGATAATTGATGATGATGATAGCTAAGCAGGGGTGAATGAGCTGCAATGCCCGGGGTGAGTTCGACAGCTCTCAAAGGAGCTAAACCTCTAATTTAATATCATCCATAATGTTTGAATTTAAAAACACGAATTAGAGTTTAATGTTGGTCGATTTCAATCAATATTGATGTTGTTATCTTAACAAAATATATGGAATACTAGTATCCAATATTTAAGACATGTTTGTAATTAAATAATGGAAAACGGTAGATAAAATGCCATTGACAACAGTTCTTTTTATAATTATTACAAATAGTGCTTTTAACAAATCGTTTTAGGTGGACTTATTTTTTTAATTAATTTTGCATCAATATAGCCAATTTCATTGTGATAATTCTTAACCTTACAGCGGTTACCCGTATTAGAAACTTTGAGTAAAATGTCACCTTTTTTAACTTTCAAGTTCATTATATTTCCCGAATGGTTTTCAACAGCTTGATAAATTTCCAGTCCCGTTTCTTCCAAACGCTGGCGGAATTCAGTATTATTGGCCTCGGAAATTGGTTGATTCGCTAATTTCACAGCAGCACTTGGAAGGGGGAATAAGGAAGGCGTTAACAAACCATATGGTATATATCCAGTCTGCCCTTGACTGTTACGAACCTTACAATCTCCAGAACATGTATTATCCAATACCTCCAAAACGTCACCCTCGTTTAACTTCAAAGATTCTCCGATGTGCATTTCGGAACATTCATAAACATTTTTTCCCTCAGCTCTCAAATGACAAGCAAATATTACATTATCGTCAACGGTCCTCTCTTTAACTTGGTATTGGCTTTCTTTTGGTTTTGGTATAATCTGTAAATATTTTTAAAAATCCTTTATTATTCGGTTCACTCAAAGACAGGGGTTAAAAATTATCAATAAAATACTGTGCATAACTATTAAAGGCTCAATACCACTCTTGTTGTAACTGAATAATATGTCCCAATCTTTATTCTGGTCAACAAATTGTACTATTTTACAATATTCCAATTAATTGATGATACAAATTTCATCTTAACACACCTAATTTAAAAAATTGGAAAAATTCAACTAAATGATTTGAAAAGCCTGACGTAAAGCTTTTCAAATGTGACTTGGATTTAAAAATATTTTTGAACCCTTTGGACAAGTAAAATAGGATTTAATGGATAATTTACACAACAGGTAGGACACTAACACATCTAGTACTTAGAATAAGGCTATTTTTTTATTTTCTGGAGCTGTCAAGCGCCCGTCACACGTTTTGGAACAAACTCTACTTTAAAAGAGTAGAATGTCAAATTGTTCGTGAATACCCGGACCGCGTACGATGATGCGCTTTTCTGCTTAGGCTAAGCAGGGCTAAGACATTTGATGAACATAAAATCTCTGTTTATAGTTGAGGTAGATTGTTAGAACTAAGTGTGATAATGAACATTGCGGGGTTGGTCGTGGGAGTGCAAGATTTAATGAAGATGAGGATGCGCCATGTAGTGTGCTCTGGGGAAAATGGTGCCTGGACAACGGCGCTCCCGCCTACCCTAACTTTATGTGCCAACTGCCGAGGGTTCTTTTATTAAGTGCACGGCAATGTCTACACGGGACCGGACCTCAGTTTTTTGTCCCAACCGAACAACAAGACACTCTTCCTTGCCAGGCACCTAGGGCCTCAACTAGCTCAGAGCAACGAGGTGGGAGGGGACGGAGGGGAGTGTTCTCAGGAATGCTGTAATATTGACGGACAATATGTATATCTATTTTTGTTATGGTCGAAAAAATTTTCACAGGGTGGGGGGGGGGGGGGGTGGCAGAAGGGCCAAACTTATCGGTAACTCATGAAACTCAAATGCCCGTATGTCAGCCAATTTCAAGCTACAGACCACAAATTTTGCAGTTTCAAGTTTTTTCATGTACAATAACATATATTTTTCCAGATTTTTTCGAAGGGGTCGTTTTCACACCCTTGGCCCACTTGAAATGGAATGACCCTAAAAATAAACATAAACAAGGGGAAATAACTCCCTGGTTTACGTCGGATAGGGTCGTAAAACCTCGAAAGTCGAAATCCCCTTCTCCACCCAATCATCTTTTTGTCCGTTTTTTTAGAATGCATTACATGATGGAGTGGGATGAGATTATAGTTTAAAACTATAAGTAACTATGATAACTTTAAATTATATTTATAATGCACGAAACACTTAAAATAAACAATGATTTGTAAACTCCATGGCATATATCTGGGGAGTCTATAGCTAGACATTTTGCAAATGGTCATTGCATCTTCTGTACAGTGTTGAATGTGGTACAACTATAGAGGTGTATGTGCAGTACGTATACGAGGGTTTTTGTATGACGGAGATGTAAAGAGGGAGATAACTCCATTATTTTTCAATTTAAAAATTGAATTTAAAAACAAAATCAATACCACTTACTGATTCGTTCGGCATGGTTTTAGATCTTCCAGACCTAAATCTGAACCAAATCTGAAAATAAGAAACACATTTTTCTAATGAATATCTAGCTGTTGTCGAAAAAAAAATATAACTCGAGTTTTTCTTTTCTCAAAACAAGGAATTGATAAAACAGGTTTATTGTCATAATTTTAATATCAATTTCAATAAGTTCGGAACAAACATTAAAAAATACAACATGAATACATGAATCACTAGCCACACTGTAACAAAAATTTCCGTTAAAAAAACGTAAAAAATTCCGGAAACAAAAATTACCAGGAAAATTTTATCCGTATTTGTTTTTCCTGTAATTTACAGAAATTCCTTCAATTAACATAAATTCCATTTTCAAATTCAGAAAAAGAAATCCTGGTAAATTTTCTTTCCTGAGCATGAAGATGATAAAAATTTCATTGAATTAACCACTGACTTTATACCTGTGCGTCAAATAGCTTTATCTAACGTCCGCTTCCACCGAAGTGATATCGCAGATAATCTTTAAACATAACCTCTTTTTTTTCTAATTTATGAATCGAGAGCAAGGTATCACAACCCGCCACTCGTCAGTTGTTGGGGTCTTTCAGTGGTAGACTCTGCTATAGAGACAACCAGGCTTACACTGGCCAACGGGTTGTACTATCTGGATTTAAGCCTGCTTGATTACCAGATTTTACAACCTTACCACACTAGGCATTAAAACATATTTTACATATTTATGAAAATACTTACAATCTGATTTCCGTATGATGAATAACAATACACTTTATAGATCTTATAAATAATGGAAATTAGATATACATTTCAATTAATATACCAAACGTTACAAAATATGATTCTTCATATTATGGTTAATCCATTGAAATGAATACTATAACATGACCATTATTATAAATGATTATATATGTATACGATTACTTATCGTTGTACCGCTTATCCCATAAAATAACAGAATTAAGTCCATTACAGAACGGAATAAAACATTTTATCCCTAAATTTCACGGAACTTCCTTGTCATTCCACCGTTTATTCCGTAAAATAACAGGATTAAGTCCATTATAGAAGGGAATAAAACATTTTATCCCTAAATTTCACGGAAAGTTCCTGTTAAATACTGAATATTCCACAGAAATATATAAAACACGTAATTTGAAGAAATAATTCATGCGTTTAACACAATTTTACCAAAAAATCCTTCGATTAACAGAAAAAAGGTGTTAAACTACGGAATTCGGCCACATCAAAAATGGATATTTTTTACAGTGCAGGGTGTCCAGGGTTCAATCCTGGTTTGGACCGATAAAGTACCTCAGAATTTTTCAGCAAGGCATGTTGCCGTGTCTAGTGACTAGTCATTCAGATTGGTCTAAAAACGAAGCCCCGCGTACACGTAGGCGTACACAGAAGAGATCCATTTACAGTTGGAATTCAAAGTAAGAGTAGCCGGGAAACATTTTCACTCGTGGCACACTGCATGGTGCACGTCCATATTCATGGTTAGATCTATTTCTTAAGGACACCTTCAGATTTGGTCAAAGGTCACGAGATGTAAACAGGGCTAGCGCTAACCCTACCTCTGAACGTAGTCCTAACCTTAATTGCCTTTTTTGCGACCGTGACGAAATCAGGAGGTGGCCTTAAGAAATAGATCTAGCCCATCTTCATTATCCCGGTTGGTGCAAAGGAGTTGTGCGTTAAAGCATCAATCCGATTAAGATAATATTTTAGGTAACAACAGTGAAGATATAAATTATAAGTTATTTTTGAAACCACAACAAAAATTTGCAAATCCATGTAGAATCGCCTTTTGCCGTTCGGGATTCGTCGAGTTCCTAGATTCGCTACGGATCTAGAATTATCAACATAATCCATCAGTAAGAAAGGGTTATGGAGAGCTTGCGTTGAGCACAGAACAGTTTAAGCACAAATGGAACGGAGGGCAATTCATATCTTTTGACCTTTATAAAGATTTGTGAAATCACTATGGCTTTGTCACAAACCTGAGTTAAAACTACCTGCATTAACCGGGATAATAAAGAGGGCCTTATTCCATGCAGTGTGCACCGAGTTAAATTTTACCCTGAGAGCGACGATTCCGCCTATTCCGCATTGAATTCCAAGGGTTCTTTTACATGTGAACGAGTATACTGATGGATCTCGGTTGTTCGCCACACCCTAGACACCCTTTCCTCTTTACAAGGACCCATGTTCTGCATCTAATGTCTTCGATATCAGTCCGCTTTATTTATAGAATAATATTAAATGAAGAAATCTACCTGCATTTCAAGCTTTGTTCTCTCGGACAGTTGTCTTCGAATGGTTGCGGGCTCAGAATTCACTGAACGAATAGTTGAAAATTCATCTATGCTTACGTGACCTTAAATAATATTGAAAACATATGTAAATGATTTTGTCAAAGGCACAACAGGTCAAATCTTTCTCATATTTCGCAGGGGAGTTCGATGGCCGAATGGTTAGCATTGGCGCGTTGCATCATAAGGTCTGTCATTGAGTCAGCTGGCGTGGTTTCGATTCCCGAGTTGTGCGTAACATGGGATAGGGTCGCCTGTCCAACTTCGTGAGTTTTCTCCGGGTCCTCCGTTTCCCCGCACTGCTAAAGACCCCTACGCGAAAGCGAATTATTGAAACAAAATTGAACCATATGTTAGTTCCGAAACTACCTAGTTGGTGTCGAGTGGACTTTAAACCCCACTTCTCTCTCTGTCTCTCCTTCTCATATTTAGTAATGTCAAGACTTGTTATTAGGAAATTGGTCATACAAACATAAGGCCGGCTTCTATGAAAAGGTTAGCAGAATTAATATATTATTTGAATTATCTTAGATACATACAAAAATCAATAGAAACTAATGTAAACTTCAAAGAAGACCACAGTATAAAATTTGACCTATATGGGATTTTTTTTTAAATCCTTTCTTAAATAGTTCAGAAATAGAAAATGGATAATACATTGAGCATTTCAGCCAACTAACTTTACTCTGAGCTAAGTTATGGGTATGGAAGTTTTGACAACAATTAAACGACTGCCAAAGTTCATTGTAATGATAATAAATGTAGTCCCAATTGTTTGACCTTTTATTGCGTGACATTTTAAAGATAACTGATTATATGGCGTGGATGTTCTAATCCATTTAAATATCGGCCATCCTATATGATCCAAAGAGTTGATTGTATACTTGTCACATGAATAAATGTCTAAATAATAGTTTTTATCAGGCCTCGCATGTCCTTAGTACGTAAAACATGTACGGTAGTTGTCCGAACATGACCGGTTTTAATCGTGTCTAAAATAGAGAGCTACCGCGTAAAAATACTCACTTAATTTCGTGCAAATCGATGATTCAATCTTGCCAACTGAAAATTTGAAAATAATTATTTGTATACTCTTCCAAAAAAGAAAAGCACACTCCATTTTTCATCCTTATTTTTATTTGAACGGGATCTTTGTTTCCATAAAGCTTACTTGTTTTTAATGTCATTATGTAAGGATAAAAGAAATCCATCATTGGTTTTAAATGTATTGTCACTAATTCTGACTGGTCATACTTTTTGCCCAAATTTGTTTTCGATTGATTGCACCAAGACACACGAGTTTAACAACTTCGCAAGCTATTCACATGAAACCAAATCTAAGGGCTTTAAAATCCCGGGGTTCTCGGTTTCAAAATCAGTTGCAGATGTAAACATTTAACGAGCCAAGTGATGCCACGTCTGAACGAAGACCAATAACATATCGGTCGGTTACAAGGAGGTGAATCCCAGACAGATATAGCCAGGCTGCTGAATGTTTCCCAGTGGGCAATTTCTCACCTTTGGGATAGGTACCGACAGCGAAGTTCAACACGTGACCGCCCAAGCCCAGGCCAAACAAAAGTGACCCCACCAGCCCTGGATCGTCACATCCGGTTACGTCATCTGCGGACACTGTTCACAACAGCAACCTCTACTGCAGAGTATGCGATGTTCGATGCATCACCAGCTTACTCTTTCTGGAACACGTGATATCACTTCTAGGTTAATTGGGGAATTTACATAGACATGGTGATTATGGCTCATTCATGATATAAAAAATACAACAGAAATATTTAAGTTTTGGTACGAACGACATGAAGTGTTCTCGAAAGGTTAGGCAACTAGAGCTAACCTGATTCCTTTCTCATGATATTCATGGGGTGTCCTATATAAAACTATACAGTATAATAGTTTCCTATTCATTTTTGTTTTTGGTGGGGTGGGGAATTTTCAAACGTGTGGGAAACGCTTAAAATTATTAAGATATTTAAATTAAATTGGAGGACGTAAACTGAAAACATAATAACACTCGATCTCAACGGAATGTCCTTTGAAAGGCACATTTCAGCGAAATTTCTCTTTGAAGGAAACTGTCTAATCCAAAGAGACATAGTGTTAGGCCAGGACGAAAAGAAAGTACATGTAATACTTCGTTAAGTAATACACTTCAGCTAAATATCTCTTGGAAGGGAAATCACCTTAGTTATCTGATCTATTTTTAGCATATCGCCAACGGGACCCTGTACTATTGTAGATATTACGTTGAAATACGTTTCTATAATATATAGATTAAAAATCAGATACCATTTTGGGAAAACAATTCAAGAAACACAACATATTTACCATACCTTTTAGATCCAGTTGGCGCTTCAATTTTAAAAACCATCCATCCTCTTTGGTATCGATGTAGGGAAATAATGATACACCTTTTGGCATTTGTGAAGGGTCTGTATCAACCAGTAAGGAAACAATAGCACAGATTTCATAGTCTACACAATATGATACTACAGTTTGAAGAACGTACATGTGCATTTTTGAAGCATAAAAAAAGGGCGATAATACTATAACAGTTCGTTTTGATGTATGAAGAAAAACACCTAATTCATTTAATAGGGATTTATTTGGCAAAAAATCTCGTTCGAAGTCAAAATATTTTAATTTTTTATTTTCTTCTAAACCGCGGATTAATTCGTCTATTTTACTACAACGTGGTACGGGGACATAATACAAAAATAAATCATTTTCTTTCTCAAATTGGTCAGAATAGCTCCCGGTTGTCCACCGTAAAGGTCTTGTTTTAGGAATTGCACCAGGGGTTTTATCCGGTGTCCACGAAATAGATTGTTCTTTGTGTGAGGGTCTTCTTTCTGCGCGAATTTCTGGATCTTGCAAATATTCGTCAAGTGAATGATCGGTTTCTTCGATGTCCGCGGCACTATTCGGAGAAATACTTCCAGTGTCCGATTCCAGTTCTGAATTTCTCCGTCGAGAACGGAATTGATCTCCGCTTGGATTTTCTCCTTCTTCTTTAGAAAATTTTAAATGTTGGTTATCTATTGTAGGCAGATTCGATGTCCTCGGATTAGGTAGGGTGTTGGACTTGTTATATCCAGCCATTTTAAACTAGTCTTTACTTCCCGAACTACCCATCTGAAGAAACAAAATTCGAAAAACATTGAAGCTATTCTTTCGATTCGGAGGTGCAGCCAGGCTGATAAATGCGCATTGCATAGTGTCATTTTATAGACTGTAAGTATACTTTGTATCATAGGCATACGAGTCCGAGGTGGGGGTTACGGGTGGGCAGTTGACCCCCTAACTTTCAGGCAATCTGATTTTTCTGGCACACGGGTAAAGTGAAAACAAAAATTATGATTTCATGTAGTTGGCAAAATGAAGTGCCCGAAATCTGATAAAACACTAATCTCATCTTTCTTTTAAATTGTATTCCACGAATTTGTACTGAATTGACTATGGATTGAAAGATTTTGTCTGGAGTCACGCTACTTTGTATGATTGGAAACTTTGAAGTTACTTATTTTCAAAATTTACTAGGGGAGCGCGAGACCACCATACCCCGGGACGATTGATTGGTTGTTTGGGATTTGGGATTCAGGTAAGTCACCTAAGGTAGGCTATATTGGACCACATTCTTTTCGGGCATTTCAGGTCCTGCCCCCGCCCCAACAAAAATTCATCAAGCCTATGTATCACGAGGCCATTTTATGTACAAAATTATCTGATATTTGTAAATTGATCTCGGTAGGAGGACACAAGTGAGACACCCTTCATAAAACGCTTCTGGTTATTAAAAAAAAAATAAAAGTCACGTCATGATCTAAAATGTATAAATATTGAATTACACCAACCATATATTTATCGTTGATGTTATACATACGTATACAATTTCACCCACCTTCTTTTTTTATATTATATTGTTTTTGGCAGACTATTCAACAGGGAAGTTATCAAATATCTATTTAATTTTTACACATGTGATGGCGTTAAGGAGCATAAAAGATTTGACTACAAACCAGTGAGGTGTTACGATAGAAATATAAGATATTAATACAGCAGTCGTAATGCTAGGTTCCCACTAGGTTCCCAAGAAAACGCGTTAGCGGCCGTCAAATTTTCCAAATTTTCTTTGTGGTGGCGAGGCGGGGCGGGGGGGGGGGGTATGGGTCCTACACGGTAAGCTCCGCTTCATCGCTCCTCGTAGACGACCGTCCCCCCCCCCCCTAACATTCTTCGAGCCCGTACGTCGTTGCTTGTATATTGTATAGTGGCATTTAATAAACATACTTGAATCCTTGCCTTATAAGACATAGAAATAGATTTCACAAAATAAAACACGTGTATGCAGAGGCGTAGAAATTATATAAAATGTTGACAATCTGTGAAGCCGTAAAAAAAATTTATTTAAAGTTTCAGTCTTCTGTAAACACTGTTTTGGCATATTTTACGGGGTTAAACTAAAACATCACACCAACATATTGGGATATGTACAGGTTTTATACAGATAGAATCTTAACTAATCCTAATAATTGTTGTAAATAAATAGGAGTTAGGGCCTACTATGTAAATTTTTTATTTTTTTTTTGGGGGGGGGGGGGGGGGTCCAAGTATATTCACCCCCCCCCCTCGAAAAACAATTGGGGGGAGGGGGTCGCCCCATCGCCCACCCCGGACACCTCCCGCCCCATGTGTGACGCCCATGCTTGTATGGATATACTACTTCTAAATTTTAATAAAATGCTACATTTCAATACACATACGGGTATCGTTATCAATATACAATATTATACTTTGTATAATTGTATAGCGGGTGTTGGGTGGCCTAGTGGTCTAGAGTGTCATGCGTCGAGCTCTAACTGCCCGATAGTGGTTTCGATCCCTGATGTGAGCGTATGTGGTGTCTTGAAGATAGAGCACCTTCTCAACCTCGTCGGTTTACTATGGGCAGTCCGGTTTCACCCCCACATAGGAATAAGCATAACAAAATATCACCATCGGTGGAAGCGGTCGTAAAAAGACTAATAGAAGAATGTATAGCGGATTATAGCACTCTCGGCGAAGGTTTCAAGATAAATTACATCGAATAAATATAGAAGAATAAAGCATTAAAACACATCCTCCTAACACAGGAAGTATTATTATTATTGTGTAAGCGACTAGTTCTTCGGTATATAATAAAGAAAATGTGACTATTAGGGCCAATCAGATTAGCTCGTAATTGCGACACACGTAAAAGACGATTACGGACGAAAAAAAAGAAAGAAACACAGATATATTATCAAAATATTTTTCCGCATTTGATTGATCATAATGGTCTTCCGTAGGTTAGATACATCACGACACAAGGGGCATTAAGGTGTATTAAAATATAGCCACAGTCATATCTATTTATAACATATACAGTATGTAATATTCTTAAATGACATTTATAAGTACAGGTATAAAATTCATATTAACACAACTTTATGGATTCACTAGGTTTATTACATGCAACGTTTCAACACTCTTACGGGTATCTTTATCAAGCAATGATACATAGTGAATCCAACCATACATTTATCGTACATTATGAATAAAATAATTTATAACAATCAAAACATCAAATTAATGTAACCACAACAATCACTTTCTTTTGAGTCTGACTTCACTATCTCCCATACCCTTTCCTTGACATCAAACAACATCATATAATAGCTAGCTGTAACAGAACTACAACTTACCTGTTCGAAGATTCAATACCTGCCGTCTGACAACTATTAGTTTGAAACGACTTCATTAAAAGGTACATAGTATTATTATACTTCCGTTTTTATGACACGATATTTATCTCAGTAATCACACATCCGCGTTACATTCTTATTATTACAATCATAACGTTTTTCCAATAATCTAATTATATCTATATTGTAAATATAAAATGTATAAAAAATCCCCTACTTGCAATCAATACAATCCTCTCAATAATTAAAAGTATTATATAGAACGACATAGATCAGTACATGGTATACCACAAAATACATTGCTCTGTCGATCATCATACCTATAATGTTAAATAACTCTAAACAAAATTAGAATATCAATGTGAGTGAATATATACGCAAAGTTATTTGGCCAGGGCAGCGTCGCCAAATCTTGCTGAATCACTAACACAGAGTGGAACGATACATAAGTCTCAATTATAATAGAGAACATGACGAACAATATAGGCCTATGTAGGTCGACATAATTAAGGGCGGGTCTGGTGGGGGCCGATTCGGCATAGAGGGGCAAATATAGCAAGACCTTGTTGAGAATTACTTTAATTCATATATTAACATTAAAAGGGTCGGAATAGATGTAAAGAAATGGGGTTTAAGGTCGTACTTTTCTGCACAACCCTAGCTAATGACGACGGTCCTCACCGCTCGACTACTGCGCAACTAGTTCAGCTCTGAACGTAGGTCTCATTAACACTCTCCCTAAGATTCGAAAGTGGTTACCATCAATGGACACATCTTGTCAAGACTACAAACATTGATAACTTCGCTCAAAATAAAGTAATTTGAATGAAATTTTCAGGAACCATCCTATTGAATCCTTGTAGAAAAAGTTTTGAGCACCAGTCAATCTGGGCAATTTTTTACATGCTAAACGGTCGTGTACAGGGCGAGTCTAATGAAAACTACGTTCAGAGCTTAACTACTGCGCAACATGAAAATCAGCACCTTGTCAAAATACGACCGGCAAGGCTTACATACTGGTCCCTGGGGAAAGTCGGTATAATCAATTAAAAATTTAAAAAAAACCAATCCACTAATCATGTGAAGTAGTTTAACATAAACAAGCAGAATATAAGTCTGTTCAGGAAGTGTGTGCATGCTTTAAAGATATGAATGGTTGCAAATATTGACATTGAAACTTTTTTATAACAGTCTATATTTAAATTGTTATCTATTATCATAGACTAGATACGTTCAAATTCGAATTAAAGTTAAAGGGGAATTATGTTGGTCGTTCTCTCTATAATATTTCAAAAAATAGTTAATGCAAAATGAATACAGTATATAGAAAATTTCATTCAAATTACTTTATTCTGAGCGAAGTTATCAATGTTTGTAGTCTTGACAAGATGTGTCCATTGATCGTAACCACCGTGCTGGCCATTCGAGTCTTAGCCTTGCTTCTCCATTTTTTAATTAAATCATTAAATGGCCAAATAGATCGTTCTAATCTACTTAAAATCGGTTCAATCCCATGGCATCGAGGTTTAATTGTGGCCTTGTCATGTAAGTAAATGTCTAATCACTTATTATTTATATAGCATTTAAGGCCTAAAGAAAGGCCTGCTGTAATTAGGCAGATTTAGCTCTTACATAATGCCTGTTTAATATACGAGGGTTGGCTGAAAAGCTCCAAACCTGTCTGGGAAAGACATGTACAAATTCGATGGTTTCCATTTATTTTTCTGCAAACTCCCCTTCCAGGTGTACACACTTTTGAGAACAATGTTGCAAGGCATGGATGCTGGTCAGGAAGAAATTTTCTTAGAACGCCCTCAAAAATTCGTTCACAGCTGACATGACGTCATCATTACTAGGAAAATGACGACCGGTTATAGTTCCTTTTTGGTTACAAATCTGGCCAAAAATAGTATTATGATCTGCTTCAAAACGGTACCCATCTTCCAAAAACTGTTGTCATTCTTAACTCAGTGGCAAACGTTTGTTTCAATCCAACTGATATATACTTTTCATGTTTATAACTTTTCAGCCAACCCCCGTATTAGACACAGCAGCAACAAAAACATCGGATTAAGAGGCTCAAAGTCATTGAAAGTATTATGGTAGTCCCAATATATTATAATATGTAATTCTAAAGGATACTAAACCAACCATTCTTTTTATTAAAAAAAGAAGACCTCGCTTCCTCTGCACCCTAGTAGTAATCTAGAGCTCCCACCCCCTACACATAAAGTCGCAATACCCAAAATAAATTTGGTGAAGCAAGCCTCCTTCTCCACTTTTTAAAATCTCGAGCGCAATGGTCCAAGGGGGCGCTGGTTCTATATGCAAATGAATTATGGTTCTGTCAGTTGCTATGGACAATGGTGTCAACAAAAGTTAGTTACATGCAAGTACCCAAACCAAAATCTCTAAATGTAACAGAAATATGGAATCCTGAACTAGAAAAATGTTAGATATAACTAGATAATTCTCGGTTGAGGGTATACGCAGGCCAGCAACTATTCAGTTTTCGTACACTTTATCATCATTTATAAACATGGATTCCCGTAAATATACTTCCGCTGCATCCACCTTTCCCTTATCTCGTGACAGTCAATTCTTTATATGAATTTTTTCGTTTTGAGCTCATATCCTCTCAAACTCAAAGTCTCTTTTAACAACTTTTTGTATTCAAGGGAATTATCAGTGACCTGTAAATCGTCTGCGAATCTGTAGACTTAATAGTAAGTGCAGGAGGACCGCACTACACGCAAAACAAATATCTACAAGATAAACCTGCGGACAAGACAGAAAGTAGACATTGCACCAAATAAATAAACAAATATCAAATCAAGTGAATGGATCCGGGTGCCAGACTCGAGTTTACCTTCTTTTTTTTTTTTTTTTTTTTTTTTTTTTTTTTTTTTTGCCCCACTTCACAGTCTCAATCGACGTTACACATACCGTAATAAAATATTTATTGGGAATTGTGTTGAACCAATTTTACCCCATGTCATATTGGTTAATGCTCGGTTCCCACTGTATTCGTTGCGTTACGATTGAATTGTCTCTATTCAGTCCACGATCTAGCACGTGGAGATACGACGTGCGGATATGTTTCGACACGATTGCTTCGACTGACCTCATAAAACTTGATAGGATCACCACGATTAAAACCACGATTTCAATCATAGGCTCTCGGAGCGAATCGTGATAGTGCCCTAACCTAGCATTAATAGCAATATTATATTGTCCTTTAATAACCAGTCACGATCGAGTGGCTGGAAAAGAGAGAATAAAATTTGGCGCGTGCGTATTGTACATCACCGGTAAGACCACGAGGTTTTCAAGATGGCGGCTGGCAGAGTGGATTCGGAGGGAAGGAAGTCCAACCGGTCTGAATCACAAAATGAAATGGATCAAGAGGATTATGAGGAAGAGGAACCCGATTTCAGTGATCCAGAAGACTTTATAGACGATATATCAGATGAAGGTATTGTTAATTATGAGAATAAATCTGAAAATCCATGTTAATATTTGCCATATTTTGGTTGAAAATCAAAATAATGAAAATGAACATATTTTTTGACTTCACTTTGTCAGAATAAACATCTAAATTAAATTGTTGATCGTTAATTATAAAATTATTGATTATACTCATAAAGATTCAGCTACTACCTTGATTTTTAAAATGGTTTTGCATGATGTTGTTTTCCACTGAAACAGGACTTGACAAGTTCACAAACTTTTCAGATCCACTCCAGCTGGAGCACATGATTATATGATATGATGATGCATGATGGCATTGAAACAATATTGCGACGGCTCACAACTTTTATTTGGGTTCCAAATAGCAATAAGCCCAATATAATATTGCTAAACACAAATATTAAAATATATACCAACTTTATGGTGTACTGCAGTAATAATTGCTAGCTTTGCTTGCAGACAAAATATTATTTTAAATTTGATAATTGAAGTAATGTCTTGTAATTATAAAACAAGTGATGATCATTTGCAACATTACTTATTCTATTGTATTTTTATTTTCAGATCTTTTACCCGATATTTTCAAAAACAAACCAAATGAAACAGATGGTATTGATTCTGTTGTGATTGTTGATAACGTGCCACAAGTTGGTCCTGAACGATTAGAAAAACTGAGAAATGTTATCACTAAAATTTTCAGTAAATTTGGTAAAATCAAGAGTGATTTTTATCCAGTTGATGAAAAAAATGTAACTAAAGGGTCAGTAATTAATTTTATTATTTATGTCGGGTGGTGTCCGAAAGATCTCAACGCATATGCAATAGCCTATAATCTATGTGGGTTGCAAGGTTCTCCACTTACCTCTTTGTTCTAAGGACATATATATATGTAAGCAAATTATATACCTACATGTAGTAAGAATAGAAACACTCCCTTTTTTAGTCCCAAAGTGACGAAAATCATAGATATTAACCAGTTCAGTGTCTTCCTAATCCTATACTTAAAAAAAAAAATCCCACTGATCCTTATTCATAGAATTTTGAATCCCTTGCAGATTACAATATCGTGGAAGTTGAATCTCTAAAAGGAATATCAGTCCAAAAATAGTCCAGTCGATAGTTCCATTACAGTGTTTATTTACAAAGATCTGATTAATGAATTGAAAATTATTTTCTTAAATGATTAGATGTTTGAAAAATTCTAATAACTGCTTAACATTCTTTTTGTATTAGGTATTGTTTTGTTGAGTTCTCTTCACCTCTTCATGCTCAAGAAGCTGTGAAAGTCGCTGATGGATATAAACTTGATAAACAACATACATTTGCTGTTAATCTCTTTTCTGATTTTGAGAAGTAAGTACCCAGTACTAGTGAGCCAACATCTTTTGCTTTTAAGTCAAACTTTGCAATGTTGTGGTCGTATATTGTAATCGTCATTACCTACATTAAAATAAATATGCAAAATACAAAGGTTAATTGATGCACAATTGTCCAAAGAACAAACATTCCCAGTTTCATGTAGATATTACTCCAATTAGCGGAGCCATAGGCACTTTTTTTTTAAGAGCATCACCCTAAGAAGACGGCAGTTACCAAGTGGATGGAACTTTAAACTGAAGAAAAAAAATATGTAACTTAATGTAAAATAAACATGACAGTTCTATAACAATTACTGTAGTTCTATTAAAGCTACGTTTCAACAATGATTCTCTTGTTGGTGCCATTCAAACAGTATAACTTTATGTAATTGAATTATATGTTGAATTTGTTTTAATTTAAGGTATGAAAAGGTTCCTGACGAAATTGAGCCCCCAGAACCCAAGCCTTACCAAGATCCAGTAAGTATAAGATAGGTCTATATATATATATCAAATTTGTTTTTTAGTTTGAACTTCAAATAAGTACTAGTCGGCCATACTTGATGCATAGTTTGTAAAAGTTACTTGTGGAAAGAGACTTATAAATGTATTATACTGATTTAATCAAGATCTCTGGTTCTAAAGATTAGCATTTTATTTTACTGAAGCAAATACTATCCATGATTTGTGCCTTTAACTGTAATCGAAATGGATGTAAATGTTTAATAGACTAACCATAGTTATATAATCACTGACTTGGTCATATGTGAATCTTGACATTATTTGAAAAATGAATGCAAATGGTTTTTTCTTTCGCAGGGTAACTTGATGTATTGGCTACAAAATAAAGAATGTCAGGATATGTTTAGTGTTATCTATGAAGGTGGAGAAAAGACATGTATATATTTAAACACTACAGAACCTTCTGTAGTTGAAGAAAGAGCTGTGAGTTAATAATTCTTTCTTATTTCAAGAACTATTGGACAATCTTGAAGATATAGACTTGGTTCTTGTCTTAAGGAGATATGTTCTATAGGGAACATGACTGAAATCCTAAATCAGGCACTGCCAAAGCTTTTGTGGTTGTTCATCATCACTCATATATTTCTCAGAAATATTAATAACTAGCGGTTGGCCTGGCATAGCACGGGTATAGTCATGAACCGGAAGTAGCATAACTCCGAAACCCGAAGTGGTGGTCTATCACCACCAGGCCTGTGCTACTCCCTGGTCCAAACTACCCCTATGCACCCAATTTCAGCCCTAGTGTCACTGCCAACCCTGAACAAACAAATGACGGTTATAAATATTAGTATAGATTAATATATTATTAATATATGAATAATACAAAACAGAAACAATAATAATAGTAAATCTTTTTGAAAAACTGTATTTATTATCAAAGTTAATTATAACAATATGATGTCTGTTTCAGAGGTGGACAGAAACCTATGTAAGGTGGTCTCCAAATGGTACATATTTAGCTACTCTTCATTTGAAGGGTATAGCATTATGGGGCGGAGTAAAATTCAGTCAAATCATGCGATTTAGTCATCCTGGTGTACAGCTCATTGATTTCTCACCCTGTGAAAGGTAATGAAATGTTTTGTTAGTAATATAGTTCCATTGGTGATGGAAATGGTGATCTGCCATAACAAAGCTAGCTAAAATGTGTCATGTTAGTTTCAAACGATTGCATATGGGGAATTGGTCTTTTAAATTGCTGTCAACCATTGAATATACCACAGTTGGTTCTGTAATCTGTGAAAGATAGTTATATTCTTAAAATATTGATATCATCTGTCTAGTTTTATAATCTTTAAGATGTAAATATGTTCCAATTACATGTATTATATTTTGTAGATATCTTATAACCTTTAGTCCCGTTCAAGAACCCCGTGATGAATCCGAGTCAATTATTATATGGGATATTAGAACAGGTCTTAAAAAAAGGGGTTTCTTCTGTGAAAATCAAAGTACCTGGCCAATCTTCAAGTAAGTTTTGTTTTGTTTTCATACTGAAAAGTATTGTTGCTGCCATACATCTTAAAACTTTCTTACTAACATTGTATTTTCATATTATACATGTACATAAATCATTGAAACTTTTTATATTCTTTCTCATTTCTCACTATTTCTTACATTCTCGAATTATAGTAATTTTGATGCAATCCTATACACAAAGTTTTGGCTTAAATCCTTCCAGATATGGCCTATCTGATTGTTATCATCAATAATTACTGGAAGTAACCATTTAACATAGATAATTATGATCAGATCGCTCTGTTTTTGTTGACAAGAATTTTAGCTATGTTTCCTTATCATTGAAACTTTAAATGAAAATCTGATTTTGAAAACGGTCTATAATCGTGTTATATAATTATGATGATGTGGCCCCTGTCCGCCTGGAGATCCGTCCACAATTTCTTTGTACGTTTACAACCTTAAGATCTAGGTTCCCTTACCACCAAAATGACGGTTGAGTTAATTCCCTGAAAGTCGGACCTCTAGAGGTCACAATATTTATCTGATTTTGATGAAACTTGAAATATATGTTTATATCCTAAAGATCATTCTTTTCAAGACTAGCGCTTACCACATTTTTACTTCCTGGATTATGGCCCCTGATGGTCAGAAACGTCGCCTTTTTTTTCTAGCTTGTCTGCCCATCTCTTGCAAAATGTGGGCATATCTTGCATGACAACTGCTTGTTTTTGATTTCAGATGGAATGCTGATGGAAAATATTTTGCTCGAATGGGTCCAGATGCAATCAGTGTTTATGAAACACCAGTAAGTTACAATTCAGTTATAGAAATATAGACTATAATATGAGCAGAAGGACTAAAATGGCGTCACTGTGGAAATCGCTAATATTGAAATTTACCTGTGGCAGGTAACATTGACATTCGGGATCGTGTTAATCTTATGGAAAGGATATGTTGACATATTACTTGCATTATTTAAAAAATTTATGAAGCTTTTCTGGTGGGCTTTAAACATGGGTGGTTGTTTACTAAAATATTATCAACATGCAAGTGGCAAGGTTTCGATTCCCCACTTGAATGTGACAAGGACTGGTGTCACCTGTCCAACCTCATGGATTTTCTCCGGGTCCTCCGGTTTCCTGTTAAATTGGGAGGAAATAAAATTGAACCATATGTTTGTCACGAAATGTCTTAGTTATTGTCGAGTGACCATTAAACCCCACTTCTCTCTCCCTCATTTTCAACATGTCCTCAGTTGAACTAGCCTTATTCCCACTTGTCATTTGTACTCCCGAGGTCAATCTGTGTAAACGTTTGATGAGTTGAAATTCAATAAAAGTGGAAATACAAATGTTGTGCCAAATTCTGCTGTCTTACATTGCACATATTGTGATCATAGTATTTGACATTCACCCCAAGATAGCAGGGGTTTATTTTTTAGACCCATGATATTTGGACCAAGTAATGTAATAGTGATCGAAAATATTCTTTCCTTTTCAGTCATTTGGTTTATTAGAAAAGAAAAGTATAAAAATTCAAGGTGTCAGGTATGGATAGAATATTCTGAATCTGTAATATCATGTTTCAGTGATGGATTATCATTAGATTATAATTTCTACTGCTCATTTATCACTGTAACCAGTCATAGTGTGAGACCACTGTACATTGATTTTTTTTGACTGAGTTATCACCCTTGTAAGAAGCAGATGTTAACCCTTATCTGGTAGTGTTAATTGATCAACGCACGAGTACCACTCTGGTCCAGTGAGTAAGGCACTGACCTAGAGATCAGGATCTGTCTCTTTGTTAGCCATGTAGTTCCCTTAGCTTTTTTGAGTATTATTTACCTTGGTCAGTGGTGAAGGATAGAGGGCCTTGCAAAGAACAGTGTCTAGTCGTTTGAATGGGATGGAAAATGAGGTCCTGTGTAGACATTGGCTGGAACGTAAAAGAAGCCTTGATTGTTGGAATTCAAAATAAGAGTAGGCTGTCGGACCACTGTTCAGACAAAAATGCTCTCATAGCACACATTATACCCCAGTTGGTACAGAAAATAAGACGTTAAACCCCATTACATTTCTTATTAAATGGAGATGGCTGATTGATAAAAATCAGTGTTATTGACAATAGTAAATGGCGACCATCTATTTTGTCTACTTCATTTTCAAAGATGATCGATGATAATGATGAGAAGGAAATGACTGAGATTATATTTCATTAAGATTAAAGGAGTAGCGTTCATTATATTTTGGAAACCCAATTTTGTGTATTTGCCCTTGAACCATGTCAATTAGCATATGCTATGTCTTGAATAAAATTATCCTTTTCAGGGATTTTACCTGGTCTCCGACAGATAATATGATAGCTTACTGGACATCTGAGCATGAACATACGCCTGCACGTGTAGTTTTGATTGAAATACCCAGTCGTAAAGAACTTTGTGTTAGAAATCTGTTTAATGTGGCCGATTGTAAAATGCACTGGCAGAAAGCAGGGGATTATCTTTGTGTTAAAGTTGACAGATATTTTAAAGCCAAAAAAACTGATGAAACAGATCAGATCAAATATAGTGTGAGTAATATATTCTAGAAATATAATACAATTATTGGGTAAACATCCAGTTTTTTTGTTAATGAGCAAGACACTTGCTCGCAACTCCTCTGAAGGTCGCAGGCTCGCTCCTGGTGTTGGTCGAGAAAGTTTATCGTGATTTTCTAGTGTGGTTTCTCCTTGTCAGTGGTGCAGAACAGAGCTCCTGACAAGCACAGTTGTCTAGTTTTTTGGATCGGTCGAAAATCCAAGGTCCCATGTACACATTGGTGTGCACGTAAAAGATCCCATGGCAGTTGGAATTCGATATAAGAGTGGGCTGTAGCGCCACTGCCCAGGTAAAATTTCTCCCATAACACACTGTATGGTGTATGCCCATCTTCTTTAGCCGAGTCGGACCAGAACAGTAGGTGTTAAACCCTATTTCATTTCTTTCCTTATGGCCCTTGTGAATGTTTAAACAACGAAAGTCACTATCAGATCTACTGTTTTGGGGTTTTTTTTGCAATGAATAACAATGCAACAATTTCAGTAGATTACTTGCCCTTGATTGCGTAAACGCCAATGTTATTATACAGTATGAAGATTTAGCTGCTAGAAAAACTTAGCTGATGTAGGCAGATGTTTCGTTTCCTGGCAACCTGTCTATATTATTTGAAATATATTTTCTATGTATGCCAGTACTTCCCATTCATATATATTTTTTTTCATTTTCTTAGGGTATCCATTATAATTTTGAATTGTTTCGAGTGAGAGAAAAATTAATCCCTGTAGATAAAGTAGAAACAAAAGGTATTGTATTTAATATGCACCTGTTTTACTTACTGAAGAACAGTTCCTAATTTAATTGGACAATGTTTCAAAGAGTACTGTTTTCTTTTCTTCCATAATTATGTGTTGTCTATTGCTCTAAGGGATTATTTAACCTACCTACTCTTTGAATCATGTGAAATAATAATTAGAAGATTGTCTGTTGTTGCTAATGAACAAAAACATAAATAATTGAGCTAAATCTAGTAAATCTTATGTTATTTATTTCAGATCAGGTTATGGCCTTTGCATGGGAACCAACAGGTTCTCGGTTTGCCTTTATACATCAGGATGCTCCTAAAATAAATGTTACTGTTTATAAAATGAAACCAGACGGAAAAGTTGAGCTACTCAGTAAGTAACTTTCACTCTAGTTTTAATAATTTTACATTTGAACCGGTACTTTAAAATTTGACATGGTTGATTATCAGATCTTTTGACCCTCAAGGCATCATTCCCATTTTCATTGTAATGAGCATTATTATTTCATTGATAATTCCCCCACTTTAGGTATTAGAGGTGATTTTTTTTTCTCTCGTTAGTTTATTAATTCTGCTAATTCATTTATTAAGCTTTTCAGAAATGTATAGTTCATTTCTATTCCATCAATATTAGATGCCACTTTGTTATGGCTAAGTGGGTAAGACGCTGGCTCGCTAGCCTGGAGGTCGGGTGTTCGATCCCTGCATTGGCCGAGAAAGTTCATCCAGATTTTCCGGCGTGGTGCCCCCTTGTCAGTGATGCAGGATGGAGGGCCTGACAAGGACAGCTGTTTAGTCATTCAGATGGGACGGAAAACCGAGGTCCTCTGTACACATTGGCGTGCACGTAAAAGATCCATTGACAGCTGAATTCGATATTAGAGTAGGCTGTAGTGCCGCTGTCTGGGCAAAATTTCCCATATAGCACACTGTACGGTGTAGGATGTTAAACTCCAATTCATTTCACTTTATGATATGCATTGCCCGGGTTCATAGTGAAAGTATATTTCCATTGCTTCTGAAATAAACTTCAAAGCAAGCCCACATCAGTGGCATAATCTGGAATGTTAGCATATTCGAAGTTCCAAACGATACTTATGTAATAAGATTGCTAACAGGCTTGTGTTTGTGCCTATCAAGTTTGTGGAATTGTTATGTCAAGGTGGATATTGTTATCATATTTATGAATACAACCATGATTGAATGTTTATTAAACTAGTACTTGTTTATTTATAGAAACATTAGAAAAGAGAGTTGCTAACCATTTATTCTGGAGTCCAACTGGTCAGTTCCTTGTTCTAGCTGGTTTAAGAAGGTAAAAAGCTTTAGTAAATTTATTTTAATTCAAAGTTGTAATACCAATAATGTGAAACAAGTTGTAAGACCTGCATATTGTATTGTTTGTAGTACAATAGCTGTGACACACAGCTGATGTAATTCTAATGTACATCAAGGTAGTCAATTATATTATTATCGACTTGTTAGCATAATAGATGCGCTATACATCTTTTTTCTCCCCTATCTATTATAGAAAACAGGGGATTATTTTTGGAACATAATAACTCTGCTTCTAATTGAGGACTGAGGTAACATGTTAAAACTTTGAGTAGATGTTCTCAGAAATATACAATTGGATTGTTGTAGACTTAGGAACACAATAATTGAGTTACAATGTTCAAACTTGGTTTAAAATGCTACAATATTGATATTTTCAGTATGAATGGTGTATTAGAGTTTATAGATACAACTGATATGACAATAATGAATCAAACAGAACACTTTATGGCTACTGATGTAGAATGGGATCCAACAGGAAGATATGTAATATCTGCAGTTAGTTGGTGGGGTCATAAGGTATGTTATATCTGTTAGTTGGTGGGGTCATAATAAGATATGTTAATCTATTTGTTTGTGGGGTCATAATAAGATATGTTAAATCTATTTGTCGGTGGGGTAATAAGATATGTTATATTTATTTGTTGGTGGGGTCATTATAAGACATGTTAATCTATTTGTTGGTGGAGTCATTATAAGATATGTTAATCTATTTGTTGGTGGGGTAATAAGATATGTTATATCTGTTAGTTGGTGGGGTCATATGTTATATCTGTTAGTTGGTGGGGTCATTTAAGATATTTTATTCAAGTAACAATCTCTGGTTGTTTTTATTCAGGTTGATAATGCATTCTGGATTTGGAGTTTCCAAGGTAACTTATTACACAAACAACCAATGGATAGATTTTGTCAGTTATTATGGCGACCAAGACCACCAACCTTATTATCAGAGAAAAAGATTAAGGTAAATATAATAACCTTGTCCCATGCACAAAACAGTTTCATTTTGAGTTGAGGGTCCATTATTATTATTATTAATAATATCAATAGAAACACTAATAAAAGACAAATCTTGTATCTGACAAATCCTAAATTTGTGATAAACAATGTCTGTTAGCGGTGTCTAATTTCTAGACTCGAACGTTATACACATGGGAAGGTATGCTTATTCTTATAAAAACATCTCATACCACTTGTGTGTTTATATCTAGCATCTTATAGAATTCCCATTTGCCGTTCACCTTGCGTAGTTTCTGTGTAGTTTTCCTTCATGTGTTATTTACATTTATAGGAGAAAATACTTTTCCAGATTGTGCAATAAAACAAGACTTGAATTTTGTAAAGACATGAAAGTTTCTATTGATGAAATTTCGACTCGTTACAGATTAGCCATTAGTTGTCATGTATGTATATATATTTTATAAATAAGTATATTTTTTATTTACAGGAGGTTAAGAAGAATCTGAAAAAATATTCTGGAATATTCGATGTTGAGGACAGCCAAAAGAAGAAGACGGCTTCAAAGGTAAAACAAAAACTACTACATGAATTCTGTGGTGGGGATTTGGAAATTTTACAATATTTTATAGCTATTAATGTAAATTTTAAATTGTGTGTGGTGGAGATTCGCAGATTTCACAAGTACATTATATTTTACATTTATTTACATTTCTATTTCTTGGAACCTTAAAAGTAGATGAAAATGGGTCTAAAAGCAGATATTAATGTAATTTCTAAACAATTAGATTCAGTGAAATACGCAAACAGTCCAGTTTGAATGGCAATCGTTTGCGGCTGCTTAGTGCATTCTACACCTGTTTTTATTATTATTTAGTCATTTGGGAATCCGCAATTTTAATTACTTCCACATTGTCTTCTGGTATATGTTTTTCTTAGTTCATTACAAATGGTGCTCAAAACCATTATGTCCATAGAGTACTGAAATGATCATTGTGTCTTAAATACTGGATATTAGAATCCCATATTTTCACGGCAACCTAACAACATCAATATTGATTGAAATACACCAACATTGAATTCTAATTTGTGATTTTAATTCTGAATATTATGGATAATTTTGAGTTTGTGGTTGTTATAATTATTTTATCATCTTGTTATGGTCAAGAGAGTATGACCAGGCATATTTGTTCTTATAAAAGAAATTTCAATCATGGTCATTTGTAATATTTTAGGAATTATTGGAGAAACGTCAACAATTATTGGATGAATTTGAAGAATATAGAAAACAGAAGGTGGAAGAATTTAATAAAACTCGGGATATACGTATTGAAATGAGAGATGGTAAGTTAAATCTCCTGAAAGTCATTTACTTAGTATTTGGGTTGGGTGGTCGAATTGTCTAATATGTGCATTGAGTCAGTTGGCTTGGTTTTGATCCCACACTTCTATGTGACAAGGAGTAGGGTCACCTGTCTAACCTCACAGGTTTTCCTCTCTCTATTGAAGACCCCTACGAGCAATTGAATTAATGAAATATATTAGTCCTGAAATGGCCTAGTTTCTCAGCTTAATCCATGCTAAAATGACTAAAATTGACTGTTTAACATTGATTTTAAAAAAACTAATTTATCAACCATAGAGAAGACCTGGCTTAGATTCAGTTGTATTTAAGATAGTCCAATCAAAAGATTTTACCCAAAACTTGTTGACCTGTTAATATTGCCGAATTTAGTGAAATTTTCAGTTCAATATATCTTTGTAAATAGTGAATGGAATTAAACCATTTTTGGAACAATATTTCTTTTGGAGACTCAACTTTCACAACATTGTAGTTGGCTGGCATGGGATTTAAAATCTCTCAAATGGTCCTTCAGAAAATATGAGAAATTAAGTTGATTTAACAATAAAACGGTGGATAGAAGGTCAAGATGTCAATTTATTTTGTTTACAAAGTGTGTGATTAATGATTTATAGCATGAAATTTTGATTTTCAGATGATTTCTCTTACTGAAAATAAAATTGTTAAATGAATTAATATTCTTTTTTGTAGGTGTTGATACGGATGAATTGGACAGTCATGAAGAAAACTTTGAAGAAGAAACAATTGAATTTCTGGTTAAAGTTGAAGAAATCATCGTCGAAGAGTAGACTACAGACATTTTCTCGTTTTATTGTGTGGCAGCCATCTTGAAAACTTATTACAACCTCGGTATTGGAAGAATTGCAATCATAATATATATTGCGGAAGCTGTTGACATATCTTCAGACTTCTGCTTGCCAATCAATCTTGCATTTTGCAAATTTAAAATTGTAATTATTAAATAATTGTTGGTATATGGTAAATATATATTGTTTTTTTTTTTTAAAGTGCTGATCATGGAGTTGCTGTCAATATTTGTATGTTTCTGTTTTTTGAGAGGTAGAATAATCAAATTATTAGTCTTTAATTCACATTATTTCTCTAATAGTATTCTATATGGCTATTATTCAGGTTATTATTCTGTGCCATTTCGGATAGAAAATCTTTATTTAATTAGAAAGTCTGTAATTCATTCTAAATTTCGTTATATTAAAATTAATTTTAATCAAATGCGTTTTGTTTCATTGAAGAATTTATAGCTATACAATGTTATGTGTGGATTTTGTATAATTAAGTAGATGAATTCTTAAGATATCTGGGTGATATTTAGAAGTAATTTCAGGCAATACTCATGACTACTGGATGCTGCCTCTAGGAAACTGGTTTATCTGTATACAACCAATATAAAGGGGAGTCGTCTATGGGTCGTTTAAATGTCCTTATCTGGGTGATATTTAGAAGTAATTTCAGGCAATACTCATGACTACTGGATGCTGCCTCTAGGAAACTGGTTTATCTGTATACAACCAATATAAAGGGGAGTCTTCTATGGGTCGTTTAAATGTCCTTATCACGACCACAATATAAATAACAATATTGGGGCGTCTTTTCTTTACAATGTAAGGTATTGTAGACCTAGTACAATGTCCCAAATGATTGACTGTTAAGTACATAGGACATATCAGTAGACATTCTTTAACCAAACATTCTTCGCAGCCTCTGTCCATGTGTCTTCCATTCATCCCCAATTAGTCAGAAGAGTGTGTTCAATGATCTGTTTCAACAACTACTAGTTGCTGCCTGTCGCTCACAATTAGTTGTCATTCCAGTTAGTGTGTTGACTGATCTGTTTGCTGCCTATCGCTCACAAATTAGTTGTACCCAGTCACAAACTCGGTCTGTGCTAGGCTTAAGGAGAGTGAGAAATATTGTTCTGTGGCAAGTTCACATTGACAAACTGTAATGTGTTAGCACAATAGTGTCTAAAAATAACAAGTCCAGAAAAACTTCAAGTTGTCAGTGGTTAAAGATGGAGGGCATGGCAATGAAGTTAAACCCATTTCATTTCACAAATTGCTTAGTGCCGGGTAGAAATGTTGTCTGAGCAAGACTTGTTACATGGTCCAGGAAGATAACATCAGAAAAAGCACAAATAGGTATTATTACTGTTTATTTATAAACACTGGTTATTGTTGTTAGTTGACATTACAATAGAATACAGATTATAGTCTAATGACGAAAATAGAGGTGAAAGCAGACATTTTTGTTGCCAGCTTGCATCTACGTGTAGGTAGTTTTTTGTATTGACTGACATGGAAAGGGAGATTACTGAACCAGAGCAGCATTTCAGACCACCACCTTACTGAACCAGAGCAGCATTTCAGACCACCACCTTATTGCATATATATGTCAATTAACCCTTATAAGCTGTATTTTGAGTGTAAGTTATGCAAATAATAATAGACCTAAGAAAATAATTCAAAGTTTAAAACAAATGCTTTTAATATTCAGTATTTTCACACAATATGCATATTTTCATTTGCACCATGCCAAACACATTAACATTTGAGATTCAAAACATTCAGACAGCACAATATTTGATAGCATTTCATACCATTTTCATTAAGATCAGAATAAAGACCTTTTCATCATACATGACTAACCCAGATGCTGTTTTAAATTTCTATGCGTCATCATGCACACCTACCAGTAATACTAGGTCAGTTTAACCAAGCCCCCAAAGAAGATGAATAGTTGTTAACTGAATGCTTGTCTCTGGGATCACACTGGTTTTCAAATTTTTTTCCACCAAAATGGATCATAATTGACAAATGTGTACTACACGTCTATCCAAAATGAAATTTGGAGACAAGGCATTCATGTTGAATGTCTCAATATAAATTATAATCCAAGTCCTGTGATCATATAACTACTAATTGTTTTTTCTTTGGCAGACGTTTGGTTAGCTCAATTAGTTTAAAATTTATTTGACATACACTAGATATTTGGCCACTGCACGAGTCAAGAACTGCTGTTGGTGACATCACATTAAACTGAGAACTCCTCTCTACGAGATCCAGCATAAATAAAATTATTATTGTACATGTACAACATTCCGAAATGCAAAATTTGAAGGGTCATCACAAACAAATGAAACTTTAAAAATAAACATTATTGTAAAACCTAAGAAAAATATATATCTATAAAATTGAAAGAAATAATTCAATCATTAACAATTGTCAGTTATTAACACAAATAATAGGTGCAGGACAACACATAAACAAACCCTGCGGACATGACAACATAATAAATAACAAACACATAAATAAAATCGAGTAAATGGATCTGGGAGTCATGTTGGTAGTGCTAACTTTTTAAGACATATAATAATTTACATATTTGCTCATATAAACATAAATTTGTACCGGCAACCACACCAGCCTTTAGTAAGCTAGGTGACAAGCCTTTATATAAACCTAAAATAGTCTCTTCCTTTATTATAATAAATAAACAATTAAATAGTCCACTATAATGACGCACACTACCAAATGATTGTCTGGCTTGTTCAAATCCTTGAATTTGTAAACGTTTTTTCACAATGTCAAAAGGATATATGATCAACTTGGCTACAACTCCAGCTGCTGTTCCACTAAGTAAACTTTCTGTGGCTCCTGAAATAAAAATAAACTATTTGAAAAATTAAATTTTGTTTTTAATGATTAAATGATTAAAACTTCGGATATGTAATAATTAATTGTTGCTTAACCTTAAAGTAATTATCATAAATAATGAAAATCTGATAGGTTTCTAGTTCTTTCCAATAGCTAACATCATAAACAAAACATGTACCAGAAATAAGAAAACGTTTAAAATGAACAGGTTTCATAAACATTAACACATGATGGATGGGGTGATGACAATATACAACCACATCTTAATATATATTTGATAAATAATATTGAACATCACACTCAACCTTAGACTCATTTTATGTGATTTCAAGTTTGAGCAGCAAATCTTAAATGAGCATATTTTATACCCCTTATTACCTGGCATAGATGTTGAAGGTGTATCTTTAATCATGGATATAATCTCAAGACATAAAGCATATAATCCAAATTGAAGTCCCATCTGGGGTCCAACCTGAGTAATGGCTGGCACCAACCCTTTATAGAAACCTCTAATACCTTCATGTTTATATATTTTACCTATGGCATCATATATACTTGTATATACCTAAAAGTAAAACAAGCAAAACTCTATAATAAAAATCTTAAACACATTATTTTGTAGGAATGTCACCTATACAAATGTGCGCAAATCCAGAAGGTTAATAAGTCCCATAGGGCTATCACAGAACAGGTAAATGTAGACATTTTTTTTTTTTGCAAAACAATAGCAAATGATAAATTACATAGATAGAACTTGACCACCACTGGATGATTAACAGGGTTATAACGATAGTTGGTAATGTTTTGGTTATTTTTAAGATGAAAAATTGTAACTTTAGGCTAAAAAATGTCCTTGAAAATCCTTGAATTTGACGTATATTTATCCTTGAATATCCTTGAAAAAATGTTTGACGAAGCCGCGGGAACCCTGATTAAGTCGTGTTAGGGTTTCAATTTCACAATTCAGATAATTCTTAGCTTTAGTTTCTACTAAATTAGTCTTATTACCATACCTTAGGTTCTCCTTGAGCAATAAATCTGGTTCTAATAACATCAACAGGATGTATACATAAGGACGCTAGACATCCTGATAACCCACCACACACTGTATGTAAAACAGGTCTATACAGGTCATTACTGTATTTCTCTGGTAGTAAATGCCATGCACATTTTGTAAAAAATTCAAAACTAGTATACTGAAAAATATAACAACACCACAACCAAATTTAAATCACACTGACTTTAAATCTAACAAGTTTGTTTTTACTGAACTATAAGAGGGAACACAGAGTTCTATAAAATAATGGTCAGGTCCCAATAATGATCAGATCCAGAATAATGATGATCATCAATATTCCTGCCATAATCATAAAGCATTTATAGATAATGAGACTGATGTCTCAATCCCAAAATGAATAGATTACACTCATTAATTACTTTGCACATTTATATTTCCATAAGCATCAAGAAATTAAATTGTTCATCACTCTGCTTTTAACCTAAGAAGAATATGATCATTATAGAACTTGGTCAAGGTATTGATGATTGATGTAATTAAATTATACACCAGATTTCACTCTTATAAATTATAAAGTTTGAACATTCTGCCATAATCAGTTATTGTTCCAAAAGATGTGACAAATGGGTGGACTGACAACCCCATTTTAATGGATTCTCCTGGTCAGTGGTGTGAGATTGAGTGTCTGGTGATAAAAATTTGTCCTAGTTGTTTGGATGGAACAAAAAATTGGCAGTATGTTCAAGATCCCTTGAAAGTGGATATTGACTTAAGAGTAGGACACAGTTCCAGTGTCAGAGCAAAATTTCCCCCATAGGACACTGCCAGTTGATGCAGAAAAGTAAGACATTAAACCATATTACATTGCTGTTGTTTAACTGGAAACACAGTTGTGTGCCCAGTGCATGCATATAATCGTTGATCCCAATGCAATATGTTTTAAAGTATAGTAATTACCTGAGCTACCCCATAGCCTACTGATAGTATCTGTGCCGGGACATGTCCTTTCCACAAGGCTTTCCAACCTTCTTCTTTTAATATAGATGAAGAAGCCTGATACAAACTTCTATATTTAGAGTTGGTAGAAGATCTCCTTATAGGTTCTACTTGCAACTATCAAAATAACATAATCTCATAAATTTGCTTTAGTGTTCCAAATAGTTTCGAACTATTTAAGGACCATAATACTAGTCCTGTGATACAAGCGTTTGACATGGTCTAGAGACTAGCGAGCAGGAGTTCTGGGGGGTTTCGAAAATAAGAAACAAAAATCTTTACAAAAAAATGCTAAAGGCTAAAACAGTTGTCAGCCTTCCTGTAAATGTGTATGTTGTGGTCTGTTTGATGAAGTTTATTTATCTTTAAGCACATAAGTTTATATTTTGATCTTTGTACTGTATTGCCTTGAAATCAAATTCAAATGTACTGCAACATTTATTAGCAATGTGAACTCCTGAATTGAGAAGTGGCATAAACAACTTAGCATACCTTCCTTGTCTATTGGATGCCACACCGTCACCATTTATAGTCAAGCAAAAAGATAGTTTGGACCTGGATATGTCAAGTTTCAGCTACTGCTTAGAAGATATCCCATGAAATAAGGTCAATTGTTAAAATACAACACTAAGGCTATTGTAAAGATTTGTTAGATATGTTGTTCACTCATCAAATGTGAAATGAAATGTTGTACTTCTTCAAATGTTAAGTTGTGTCTTTGGCCCACTCCGCAAAGGTTTATATGTTCAAGGCCTGCCAGTGCTTGATACCCAACAGAAGCATCACGTACGTAATCGACTAACCTGAAATCTTATCTTGAGTACATCAAGTGGTTGCCATAATGCTCTACTCACTGCACTACTTAGAGCAGCTGCTACAGCATGTGCTTTATGAGATAATTGAACTGTAGCTTTAGAGTCATAACCAACCATAATTCAATATCATATTCTGAAGAAAAAATAACAAGCAAAGATAATTAAAATATTATTATCAGATGGATCCTTTTAATACAATTACTATTTTTAATTTTTTCTTTTATAAATATCACAAAGAATAATTCCTGTAATTATGCAGTTTAAATAAATTCAAGATCTAGAGATCTTGTAATTCTCACATTTAACCAGTTGAAAAGCAATAATTTATTGCTTCTACACAAAGAAATAACAAATAACTACAGACTATGGCCAAATGTGTAAGCCCAGTACCGCCTGCGCCCGGCATATAAAATGTCAAGAAAAACATCCGAAACTACAGTTTTTCCGGTATTGTTTTGTTAACTTTCTGGACAAACTGATATTATAAATAATTGGAATCTTAATTAATTATCCAGTAAGACGCGTGTATTGGATGCGGTATCCATATCTAAACTTTTTATACACCTCTTCTTAATAAAATAGACATAGAAGAATATCAATATGTGGCAGGTCTCGTGTTTCCTATATAGACCTAAATCTTGAAGAAAATAGATCGTAGAAAACTCACAGAAACGGCTTTGTACAGGCCGATGATCTTGCTTTTGAACATTGTATAAATATAATACAATTTAAAGGAGCTAAGTCACTAATATTTGGGACCTAGAAATTGACACAAATGGGTCGCATACGCATACAATAATGTAATATGAATGTATATAAATTGATTTACATTCAATCGTTTCTGTTTTTACTGTAATTTCTAATCAGTTAGGTTCGGCGACATACGCCAGTATTCTCAATCGAATTTCAATCTCTAGCTTCTGGTTATTCCAGTCTACGCCGATAGTATCTATTGGGCATGCTCTCCAGATAAGAATATAGCGTCACCGTTTGACATGACTTGTGGAATATGCCTAGCCTCGTTTTTCGAGTCCCTTATTACACATAGCGCTGAAACGCAATATGGTACACGACTCGTGTACCAACTGTAAAATGTTTATTTTGTCTTAAATATTGGATATCAGAATGTCATCTTTTCCCGGTAAGATCTAAACATCAATGTTGATTTAACCCGACAAATATATCGTGTTTTCAATGTCAAAGATTTTGGATGATATTGAGTTAGAGACTTAGCTACTTTAAGGCATGTCAATGTCACGGCGCTATTCGCTATTTATTTGCAATAGCGCCAATGTCACATTATGATTGTGATTGACAATATAATATAATTCTAAGTCCCAACACATAAAACAAATGAATAGATGGCTTGGGAAAAGGTAGGGACTTTGCAAAAATTGAAATACCAAAAATTAACAAATAAATAAATAAATAAAACGTTGTACTTGTAGATTTTTAACATAACAACCTTGAATTCCGAGCCATACTTGTTTTGAGAGTTACGCCCCCTAATGGTAGATACGGTTGTCCGGACGCTCAAAATGAGAAAAAAAATAAAACACGCGAATGGTGGTGCATCTGGCAAGGAACAACGTGTAGTCGTTCGGTTGGGACGAAAAACTGACGATCCGTGCACACATTGACGTGCACGTAAAAAATCCCATGGCAGTTGGAATTCGATATAATAGTAGGCCATAGTGCCGCTGTCCGGGGAAAATTTCGTTCATAGTCATGGCACATTCTATCTATGGCGTCGGCTATTTCTGTCTCCATTAGCCCAGTCGGAGTAGAGAGAGAGAGAGAGAAATGGTGTTTAACGTCTACTCGACACAAACTAGGTCATTTCGGGACTAACATATGGTTTAATTTTATTTACATAATTTGCTTGCGCATAGGGGTCTTTAGCAGTGGGAGGAAACCGGAGGACCCGGAGAAAACCCACGAGGTTGGACAGGCGACCCTACTCCTTGTCACGTACAACCGGGGATTCGAAACCACGCCAGTCGACTCAATGACAGACTTTATGATACAGCGCGCGCACGCTAACCATTCGATTGAGAATACTGGCGTATGTCGCCGAATTAACTGATTAGAAATTACAGTAAAAACAGAAACGATTGAATGTAAATCAATTTATATACATTCATATTACATTATTGTATGCGTTGCGACCCATTTGTGTCAATTTCTAGGTCCCAAATATTAGCGACTTAGCTCCTTTAAATATGACGTCGCCGGGACCCTGGGACAAACAACTCGGCGAGTGCATGGTATCTAGCGTCATTTTGGCGTATATCTGGGGTAATTTAGATTTAACACAACTTTATTATATGACATGCCAAATACATGTACGTACGTTTTAGTTTTACTGATGTAATAAAATGATCAGATGGTGGTATGGCCGAACGTATAACATATCACTGGTCGGAAAAAGGTCCGCAATTGGCAAAAATATCGAAAACGATCGAGATCTTTAAGCGCCTTACGAAACGAAGACGAATAATTTACACCAACATTTTTTTTAAAACATTACTCGGCTTACCTCCGGGCCCCTGGACAAGTGTCCCAGCTGTCCCCACCCTCATTTTGTACAAGTTATTTACAATAAAATATAACTGGAAACATAAGCTTAGGCCCTATAGACCTAGTAAATCTAAGCTGACACTCGGTTTATTCTTTCATGGTACCGAATTTTACCAATGAGCTTCACTAAGCAAAAACAAATTTATTTAACAAACCAGAAACACAAAAAAATATTAAAACTGAAAGATATTTAATTATACATGTGTTTAAAGGTGGTTTAAAATTCATGTACAGACCATATATTTTATGATTTTTGTTACAGTACAGAAAGAACATATTTATACTTTATGTATAGTACAGAACATTATATTTGATGAATATTTATTACAGAACAGAACATTTATAGTTTATGAATATTTATTGCAGTACAAAGCATAAGTTTATGAATATTTATTATATAGTACAGTAAATATATATTATAAATATTTGTTCGAGGCGATGTTTATTGCATTGTTTTACGAACATTTAAACGATGTACAATCGAAATATTTGAACTGGATGGTTCGATTTAAAGGACAAATTCTCCTACATGGCATCCGTTTGTACACGTCACCCCCAGAGTTAGTTCCCCTAGTTCCTTAAAACATAGGGTCCACCGTGAATGCGAACACACAATATTTATTACTGTATGGAACATATTATTTAATGAATATTTTTTAAAGCACAGAACATATAGTTTATGAATATGTAAAGTTTTGATGCATCAATTTAGCGCTGTGGCAATCATTTGCAAACTACAATATTGTGCAATTCCGTTATGATAAATTAAAATTCCATCGATCTATGCTGCTCATTATCATAATCTACCATCTATTATTGGTTGCGGAGAAACCCGATGAGTCTAGTTTAAATCCATGCCGGGAGATTATCTAGCGTTGGTATTTTGTTAATTAATGCACCGGAGTACATATTTAGTGTGAATTAAGGCATGAATTTAATCGAAAATGCAAATGACGCACCGAGCCTTTAATACAATACAGAATATATTATCTAGTTTATGAATATTTACAGTACAGAACATGTTATTGTTTATGAATATATAGTATACGTGTATATATATAGTTTGTATGTGAACAATATTCAACAATAAAATTTAAACACAAAATTTCACTTTTTCGGTATTACTGACATTACTTGTCACATTACTTATAATTTGAAATCCTTCTTGGTCGTTCTCTTGTTTGACTTAGCGGTATCATATTTATACATATTCTGTGGAACAGCCCGTAACGTATAGTAATTGTGGTAATAGTCAGATGGAAGAGATCGTAAAGTGGGTACCACCGACACGTTTCCTCCATCTATGAGACCCCTTTCATATCTAGACGATCTCGCGTTTTTCTTCAGTTGCGGGTAACTCCTTGACCGTCGCCCATATCTAAAAAATAAACACTTTCATTATTAGCGCAAAAATATATTATTTTTATGTATTTATATCCAGAAACAAAAGACCATGTACAGTCCTTAAATCAGTTCCAAAATCATATTCGGTTAAAATATAATATGCGATGTGGTCGTGGGGGTATAAAAAAAGCAAATGGAAAAATTAATCTTGAGAAACAGTACCGGATATTGTGTAATCCTGGCAAATAATAATATTTAATGATATTCAACGTAGAGCTATAATAGAGTCAACAATTTCAGAAAAAAATCTACAAACCCATTTAAAAACAACTTACGTCCAACAAGCACACGCAGAAACAATAATTAAAGCCAATAAAAGTACAGCTACCGTAGCACCAACAGCCGCACCAACTATTAATGGTTTATCTAATGGTATGTCTGAAATAAAAAATTAAATACTTTGACAAAAATACGAATAAAAAGATGGTATACGCACTGAAATCTATAATAATATTTGTGACTGTCATTTGTTTGTTTGTCTGTCTGTTGGGGGTTGGCGGCTACACTAGGCTGAAATTTTGTGTAATGGGTAGGGTAGCTCGGACTGGGGCGTAATATAGGCCTGGTGACAATGGCCTACCACTTCCGGTTTCGGAATATGCTACTTCCGATTCATGGCTAAACCCTTGCTATGCCGGGTCAACCACTGGTATACATTAAATGGAGTGTGGTAAATGCTAAAGATGATGGAACACCTCAATTTCTTCTAGTGTGGGCTATACGAATAAATCAAACGGATTTCGTTTCTTTTGCTGTAGCTTTTGGTTTAATACTTCACAGTCGATAAAATAATGTACGTAGTTTTTATCGATTTAATTATTTACCTCAGTTACTAAAACAAACTGAAATGGCACCAATCTCATGTTTGAATAAAAGAAAATAAATTCAATTGGAATATCCCAATACATTCCGGATGTGCGAAAAACCCAGATCCACCCGAGTATACAATAAAGATAGGACGAGAACGTAACAGGGGTTAGATGAGGATTATTCTTAAAAGCGACTCCCTGGGAAAGGTTTCCTCGGCATTGCAAACATCAAAAGGACAAACCATTAGTCCCGATTAAACGAAATATTATGCTAACTAAATTTGAAGGAGCTAATATTTGGGAACTAGAAATTGACAGAAATGGGTCGCATCGCATATAATAATGTAATATGAATGTGTATAAACTGATTTTACTGTTTCTGTTTTTACTGTAATTTTTAATCAGGTATGTACGGCAAAACACGTCAGAAGACTCAATCGAATGACAATCTCTAGTGTCTGGTTATTCCAGTATACACTGACAGTATGTATTGCGCAGTATGTATTGATACTGAGTTAGAGACTTAGCTACGTTAAACCTCCTTTTCATTCCATTACACTATATGAACGTATATCTGTAAGAAAAAGTTTCTGTAAATCGACATATTCCCGATTACCTTTAACTTTTTCACACCGCACTCCGTCGAATTCTTTCATACATTGACAGGTAACACTTGTATCATTAGACAAACACTTGCCATCGTTTTTACAATAGTCTGTGTCTATCATACATTTAGCTGTGAAATATACAAATATACTAATAAACCTACAATATACTATACAAAACATTTTAATAGAAGCCAAAACCCGCAAGCATGCTTGACAGGTGTCGGAAAGTTACAGTCTGAATTTCGAGTCAATCCCTCAAAACAATAACCCCGCCTATATTCGGAAATACGAATGAGTCGTCACGCGTGCCTTATATATCATTAAGTAGGTCTATAACATCATATATGCAAAACAGGGCTACCAGTCACATCGTAACATGTTTTCATTGGGTCCTCCCCGCAGCTGAAGACTCCTGCGTGCAAGAAAATTAATGAAATACCAAAAATACCAAAAGTGAGTCCAGAAATGACTATATTAATGATGAGTAGACAATAAACCACCTAGGGTATAGTAATAATAATAATATCGTTATTATGTTGGTTATTATCTTGATAAAATCCAACTTACAGATGCACTGATTGATGTTATTGGAGCCCTCATATTTTGTAGACAGTATACCTGGACACAGTTTACAGAAGTTGCTACCCGGGTCATCCTGGTACGTACCAACACCACACAGACTACATGACAATGACATCACATTGAAATATGAACCATTTGGACATGGTGCTGAAATAGTTAGCCAACGATTCAAAGAATGGGGTGTAAAACCAAAACTTCAAATGACGATAACTCAAATTAGAATATATGTGTATATATATTTTTTAACTTTTGACTAATATGTTTACAGTAAAAGTGTTTGTGAATAAATATAGTTTGAGTGATTATATGTCTGACATGCATTCTTTTATCTGTTTATACAAATTAAATGTTTTCTCCACTGTCTGTAAGCCTATATGCTTTGTGCTGTGGGTGCAAAACCGAACATTCATAAAAATTTCCCAAATCGATCACTATTATTTTAACCATAAACCCTTTGCTGTTGCCCCATAATACACTACACATGCCTCTACTCTCGAACCTTTATGCAAGGCTGTAAAAAGTTTAAATATGGATATTCCGGCAAACACCTATATATTTCAAACTGACAATTTTACGGGAAATATAACCGAGACTAGTTTCGGATTTTTATGTTTATAATTTTGGATGCTCCGTGTCAAAATGAAATATATTGAAATTTTCTATCATATAAACACTACGATAGGGTATGTCTCAAAATTTGTAATTTTATGAAAATCTTACCACAAACATCGTTTTGAAGAGAGTAATATTGTTGTTTACATACAACACTTGACGTCACTGATGTTGCACCTTCATATGTTAGCATATAGGAATCCTGTAATGTATAAAATATCGTCATTATTTAACACTGCCTTTCATCGATTTTACAGGTTATAAAAATAAAAACGGAATCCAATCAATAGTTGACCAAGTTTAACAAACTTTCCTCATAAAGTCCGTTTTGTATATATTGGATTCAAAAGCGTTACTAGTAAACACAAGGATGTACATCGCGTAGTTATCTGTACTGTAAAGCATTCAAAGCAGGTTGAAATGGAGATATGGAGATGGTGGTTCTTTGTTATTCCACAGTGTATAATCCTATCAAAAAAGTCGGTCGCTTTCGATAATTTTGGTGAGATTTTTCTTATGCACGAATGAAAATAAAGCGGCTAACACTTTAAAACAATTACATTGAGAACTCAGGCTTCGTGTTGACAAATATTTTGACCAACATTGCTTGATCAAAATAAGAGTAATATCGTTGAAACGTTGCATGCTATATAATAGATAACAAACCTTAATCTCTCAACCCTCCGTGTTTCGAGATAAGACATGAGCCCATTACCTATAACGTTGCAGCTCCGGGAGCGATTCACACCCGGCATTTTTAAACAAAATTGACAATAGTTTTAATCAAAACAACGATTGATTATTGTTATTTATAATATTTCTACAACACCCAACTACAATTAAGCATATAATCCTACCTGAAACTAGTCGTTCGGATGGGACGAAAAACCGAGGTCCCGTGTACACATTGGCGTGCACGTAAAAGATCCCTTGGCAGTTGGAAATCGATATAAGAGTAGGCCGTAGTGCCGCTGTCCGGGCAAAATTTCCCTCATAGCACACTGTATGGCGTATGCCCGTCTTCATTAGCCCAGGTTAGGAGCAGAACAGTAGGACGTTAAACCCCATTTCATTTCATTTCCTACCTGAAACGGGTACAAATCGTCGTTTTTAAAATCGAGGCGTTAAGCCGTTACTAAGACCGCCATCTTTTTAAACGATACGCTGTCATCATGAAGGCGGGGCTAAATATAAGGCTTTTATAACAGCCAATCAAAAGGACAATCGAAAGCACAGTAACTATGAATGGATTTCGATGGCGGTGAAATGTCAGACAAAAACAACGCTTCATTATTTTAAACGCGAATATTTGGAGTTAGGCGACAGTTGTGCAACTACATTGGCCTCTGTAAGTTTAATTAATCATAATATCATAAACTTATCTATTTTAAAGATGTTACATGCATTAATAAAGAAATTGAGTTTGCCACTTGGAACTAAAGGCATCCAATTGTAGCTAAAAACAAACACATCAGTATATCTCAACGTTTTTAGCTACGTTCTCGTAGCTAGCTATATAATAAACCTTGTTATTCCATAATTAGTTTTTGGTGGATTACTGTTCAATTACTAAATGACACTCAAAGAAGAGCTAATAAACAATAAATTGTAGACAAACCAATAGACGACGAACGCAGTTGGTGACGTCTACATTAAGATCTATAAATAATTATTCAGCTGTATATTGTGTATTAACAATTTTTGGAAGTGGAAGTCAAATATAAATAACTTACAAGAGTAGTAAAATATTCTCGTTTATTTAAAACCTCAGTTATCATATTAGCAGTGTTTCTTGTCTCCACGCCATTATGAAGTTCTTCTCTATAAAACAAAATTTAAATTCTCTAAACATAAAAAGCGATCAGACAGATATGTTGAACTAGTACCATTGAGACATACATGTATATACATCACAGAGAATTTTGTAGTGGATTCTGGAATGGGCTAATGATCTAACAAGTGTGTGAGCAGAGTATTTTGTTAGAAGATGTCTGATATTGCCAATAGCTCTCAAATGAAAGTAACACATCTTGCACAAAAGATTGGCATGTTATCCATTGTTAGATTTCAATTTAAGCATACACCAACATGTTTTACACTATCTTGTGCTTGTATATCGGAGTGGGCAATGATCACTGTGGATGAATCAATTTTCTGTAAGTTCCTTTTCGTACCAACAAGCATGACTTCGGTCTTGTCGTCGTTTAATTGTAACATGCTTGTCGCCATCCAAGACTTGATTCCCTGAGTACATGACGATGTCACGTGGAATGAGTTAGTATATTGATTTGGCATGAATGAAATGAAATGGGGTTTAACGTCCTACTGTTCTGCTCCTATGCTGGGCTAATGAAGATGGGCATACGCCATACAGTGTGCTATGAGTGAAATTTTGCCCGGGCAGCGGCACTATCACCTACTCTTATATCGAATTCCAACTGTCAAGGGATCTTCTACGTGCATTCCAATGTATACACGGGACCTCGGTTTTTAATATCATCCGAAGGACTAGACAGTTGTCCTGGTCATGCCCTCCGTCCTGCATCAGACATCAATAATATGGGTATCATCGACATATGAATGGCGGGAGAGTTGATGATGTGTAATAATAGATGCAACTTGAGTGGTGTATAATACGAATAACACCGTACCTAACACAGATCCTTGAGGTACACCACAACCTAATGGTGTAGTTTCTGCTAACTCATTAGCAACAAGTACAGACTGCGTGTGGTCATGTAGGTAGGATTTGAATCACTGTAATGATGGGCCTCCGATGCCACACCTGGCAGACAAGTTATCAAGGAGTCTGTGGTAGTCTATTGTATCGAAGAATGCTGACAGATTGAGCATCATGACTGAATAGCTTGCTAAAAATTCAAATATTTCGAAACCCAGAAAGCTCCTCTCCGACGCTAAACTGCAAACTCTTAGTCACAAAACGTGTATAATGTACAGGGCCGAATTAAGACAGTTATTAAGACAGGTGAACAGTTATTTCGTTTGTAAATGCTGAATCCAACTATTTGTACCCTAAAATATATATTTGAAATGGGGTATATGTATACATTGTAGCTAGCATACTCCGGCTAAATTAAATGTACTGTATACCAGGGGCGGCCGATGGATAAAATTTTGTTATGTTGTTCATAGTATCTGTAGTCCAACGACTACACAAATCCGAAATCGGCTCTGTTTATAGTTGCCAAGTTCAGTTTTAATTTAGTTTCTCTTTTATCAAGTGTATAAAGAAATTCAACTATTCCCCACATAAAGACAACTGGCCATATAAATACTTACGGCACACCTTTAACAACAACCTGTACTATCAGAGTTTTATCTGTACTGACATCTCTCTTTCTCCTGGTTTCACACCCTGTCATTCCCCGTACTATAACATTACTACAATCATCATCAGTACAGATACCAGACCAATCAACAGACATGTTTAATAGTTGAGCTTTTATAGAGGATAAAACAGCTGCTTCCAGTAGATCCTTGTTCGTACAGGAGGTTGTCTTTATCTGAACGTTTACTTCTATATCAACAGTGTGGATTTCTTGTGCTACGTAACCCTCTGTAAAATAAAGGAACCAGCAATAATCGATCATCGTATCGCAGAATAAATGGTGTCAAGTCGCTAGTCTTCAAACATGAATAACATTTGTGGCCCATTTCATCCAGTAACCACACGACTGGCTCACTAACCTAATCCTTGGTCATTGGATGATGATCCAGTTATCCTTAAGTAGTGTTGAGAGTTGACGGAGCTAACACATTTTAGAAAACGTATAATTTGATTACCTGGTTGTTGTACACACCCACTGCTACCTGTCGTAACCGTTGTATAGCCGGCCTCGCATTTTTTACAGTGCCAAGATTCAGGTTTCTGTCTGTAATAGCCGATAGGACACTCGGTACACTTCTTACTGGCAGAGTTGAACTCCCAACCAGATGAACAGTCCACTGATTAAATATAAAATATGAAAATAATACCAGTTTTACTTAATGAAGTCAAACATTCTGTTGGGGTAATCCGTGTATACGAGAAACGAAACCTCGGAACTTGACCTGGAAGGATGACCGACCACCACACTGACCCCAGATCATTAATCCAAGTAACAAGGCTATTCACAAAAGCTGAACAACAGACCTTACAACAGTTTTACTAAATACTCACATATACATTGATAATCGCCTTGCGAATGTTCATCTTTTGTTATTTCTCCTAAAGGACATTTGTTACAGGATGTTGCGGCACTGTTAGGTTGATATGTATTTCTTGGACATGGCTTACAACCCATCTTATTCTGATGACCCGATGACCCTGGCTCACAAGCCTCTAAAAATAAAGCAGACATGTTAAATGGTTAACATAAAACTTTGTCAGTCCAACCATTTAAACACACAAGAAAAGGAACCCTTACCATTTACATTGTAGATAATAGGTAGTTTGTTATTATGGATTTATGTTTTGTATAGTTAATTCATGTTTAAATTTAATTACTTTGCAGATATCTGAGTTGTTTAGAGAGGTCGACCTTGCTTTCCGAAATGAAAACTTGAGTGATTTATTTTTAAAATATAAATATATATATTATGATTCTCACCTCTAGCAGAAGTTAAAGTTTGTTTCAATGTGTTCAATAATGGAAATTTGCCCATTTCACAATGGCTCCCACCAAAATCATCAAAAGACAGTTCCCAAACCATGATGCCACCAAACTGATGATCTTTTACATAATTTGCCTTTATTAATCAGAAAAAAAATCATAACTTGTAATTCTTCTACATTTAAAACACTCTAGCATAGTGTACACATGTATAGCATTTTGGGTTACAAATTGACACTGAATTCATCGAATTCAAATTTTCTCGATTCTTTTACGATTCTTTTGACCTAGGACCCCCTTCTTAGTGAGCAAACGTCATGTGGCTGAGTCGCATTTTAATTCAATCAGGATGTCCATTTCTATAAATTACACTTTCAATTAAATCCACGACTTACCTTTAATTTAGCACTTCTCACATTGTCATAACCCAGCCAATCAGTTTTAGAATAAGCATAAGGTACACTCTGTTCTTCACTCCATGCTTCGTTATATTCGCCTGATTGAATCACCTTACAAACCTTTAAAAACAAAAATTAAATTGCTATTTTTGATATGTGACACATAATATTCGTTCTACTTAGTTTTAGTCTGCAGACGTTAGCTTTGAAAGGCCGGACATAATGTAAGTTTCTTCAAGTATTAAACGAATTAGTCTGCTTAAAATAACTCTTTAAGCCACGCTAAGATGCGTATCCTTTGGCTAAAATCGTGTTAGCCAATAGCAGTTACTCAAATCAGAAATGAAATGAAATGGGGTTTAACGTCCTACTGTTCGACTCAAATCAGACTTCGATATATTTAGTATAAAGAAGTAGTTGGATATTACATAGCAAATGAACATTATATGTCGAATAAATACCGTATATAATATACATGTTGAAAATTACACAGTGCTTACCTCAAAGAACGCCATTATTCCTGAAGAGTCTGTATATGGACCAGGACTGCCAGTTCCATTCATTGGACTTCCAGGCTGAGTAAGTGAATTATTGTAGAGTTTGAAGGTACGGGAATATAAAGGCATGCCTAATACTATTTTCTCTCGGCTAATATTCACAGTCCAGTAGTTCATACCCCAATCCTAGATATATAAAAAAATAATAATTTGGATAATAGTATTTGAGGTATGGGAATTTGATTGTTTTCGTAAGTAGACGTACTAATCAGTGTTATTGACACATTACGTAGAGTAAAGTAGGAAGCAAATAGAAGCCTTGGTGCCTACCACATTTAATGTTTGTTCCGCTTCAGTTTCTTGTGAACTTGCATACAATGGTGCATGATGTCCTATTTTAGTAGACCAGCCACCATACAGATCATAGACCATAATGTTCAGGAAATCAACATATCTAAACAGAACACACACATTATTAATTTTTCGAAACTACTATTACACTATTTTGCCTATACCGTTTTTTTGTTTTTTTTAGGACTTCGAATTTTGTCTAATGGTTTGGATTGTTCGTACTTGGTTTTATTTTATTTATTGCTTTTGTTATCGGGAATGTATGCTTGACGAATTAAAAGACAACAGTGGTTTTTTTTAGTTCCTAATAACGCACCTGTGAAAGTTTTGTATGCTGTTTATTAAAAAAATAAAATACTTACTGGCCTATACTTTTAGTATCATAGCCTTTGTCAATAACATATTTAATAATGGGTACCGCTGAGGACAGGAGTAACCTTGGTTTATTTGAGTCTTTAGCTTCTGCTTCAAAACTCATTCTTAGCTTCTGAAAGTACCAAGACGGATTTTACATTATTGTTGGCAGTCCTTTAAATATAAGTTACTCCACAAGTAAAGCTCATTGTATCACAATACAATTAAGTTGCATTTTCAAACTACAATATTAATTTTGTACTAACTGTGGGTTAGAAAGCAATATGTGGTAAACTTACAAAGTACGGAAGCAGAGGCACGGGACAAAAAGCAGAAAATTAAATCGGGGCCGATATGTTCAATCGAGTGGTTATTTTTAAATGATTATGCAAACCTTTAATAAAATAACAAAATTCTCTCTATCTTCCATTCCGCCTCCTCGCTCTGTAGGGTATTCCCAATCCAGATCTAGACCATCGAAATCCCATTTTCTCAAATATTTAATTGCGTTTTCGCAAAATTCATCAATACTCTCCGATGTGTTTGCTAACTCCGTAAACGGTACAATTCCAAAAGACCATCCACCTACTGCCAACATAACCTTCACTTCCGGTACAAGTTTCTTTATAGAAGTTAATTCTGTATATCCACCTGTATAGATTGAATGACAAAAGGACAGCAGCAATAAAAGTGATCAAATGATGTTTCTACTTGAGTAGATCTTGAACACAGAGAGAGAGAGAGAGAGAGAGAGAGGGGGGGGGGGGGGGTGACGTCCATTCGATTTAAGTAAGTTCATTTCAGGCTTTCATATGGTTCAATTTAATTTCAATAATTCGCTTGGGAGGAAACTGGAGGAGCTGGAGAAAACCCACGTGTTTGGACAGGCGACCCAACTCCTTGTCGCGTACAACCGGGGAATCGAAACCACGCCAGTTGACCCAATGACAGACCTTATGACACAACGCACACGCGCTAACCATCCCCCGCCCCCACTGATTTTAGGACCCTCTTCTTATATTTTGCACCTTGCAGAATACAAATTCATATAGATTTACCGTTCATCGATATCCTGTATTTCTAGTTGATCATTTATATAGGCGTTTTGTATGAACAATATGTAAATATATGTATGTTTGTTAGTGCCTTATCAAATAGATATTTGCAAATGTCCGCATTTACCACCTGTGCATCGGGTAGGGCGTTGTCCAAACTCGTGTTTGTGTGAAATAGCTTTATTTAACGTACGCCTCCAAACTCAAACTAGCACTACACATATAGTAAATATAGCTTTCGATTGGGATGATTGGCCTATTCTTTCAAACATGTCTGATGGCTCCACAAATGCGACACTGATTAAAATAAACATGTTTGGATTTAGCTTTGTCGATTTATTGGTAGAATAAAACTTTATTTTCCTCAAGTTTTATTCATATCTGATATCATTTTCGACTACACTGGATAGGTCAGGTAATCTGAACAGTAAACAGAAGCATTAATACTGAAACGTGATGGAACAACAATACCGAATGACCTAGGTATCATGTTTAGGACAGATGACAGATAATACTCATCTTCATTATACATAACACAACACGCCCAAAAATCTACCCCCTTCGTTTGATTTATTATCATATGTAAATAAACCTAATAAAAATTAATTTAATGACTTATAATAAATTAATAATGAGGCAATCATGATAAGCTGTGTTTGAAAAGTAATGTAAAAGGTATGATACAGATAACAGTTGTACAATACAACGTTTAATGCAACTGCTGTTTTTAGATATATAAATCGAAAACACCCAAACACTACTGATTCTTGCTTAGCCCAAGAAAGCACATCATGTAAACAGACCAATAAAATACCACCATGTAAGCAGCCCAATAAATACCAGCATGTGTGGTATTGGTTGACATTAATGTGGGCTTAATGTATGGGTTTTTTTAACAGAGTAATTTTGATCATTATGCTCAATTTTCCATTATACAAGATACTTACCATTTTCATCAGTCTCAGCAAGTGGTATAATAGTTTTAGTACTAGATTCTACTCCAGCAAAAGAATAAATATAATGTGTACATATTGAAGGGTCTGTAATATTGGCTACTGTAAAACTAGCTAAGCCAGGTCGTCCTGATGACCAGCTAGTAAAATAACACACACGTTTATAATTGGTTATTTCAGCCACTGCAGTACCTGCGTTAACAAAAGAAGAATTTTGTCATGTAATACTCCCCTGATTTTATGAATACAGTTCGTCTGTTTAAACCAATTCTCTCATTTTGCATTGTCATTTATGTTGATATTTTGATCTAGAATCGAAAAAGAGTGTGTGAACGTACGTGCCATGTCAGGTATTGGACTTTGACTTAGAAACAAAAATCAAGATGATCATCCCAACAACATCATAAGTTTTATCAGATCATTGTAAACACACTAGGTTCGTAGTTGTTAAACATATTTAAATCATCGGAATGTTATAGGGCACAAATAACGTGACTTTAAAAGGGGTGGGGGTATCAGTCTGGGACCATAATCTAGGAAGCTAGATTCCCGTATCTTAATTTCACAAGCGACAAGCTATATTTTAATATGTTCAAGAATATAATTGCTATAGAAGTATTGTTTGTTATAATGTGTTATAATGTACATAATGCGGTATACAAATAGTAATTCTGCTTTGAATACCACACACCAGAGGTTAATTTTTTATCTAAAATATTTGAAATTTTGGGGTCCAGTCAGTCAACGGGTTGGATTTATAGTATATTATTAGATCGACAGTAAATAAAACACAATTTGTCAGATTTGCAGTTTATAGAGTTCGAGTGAAGTAAAGGTAGGTAACCCGTTCTGCTGAGATAATTTACAGGCTATGGTTTAATATTAATATATTTTGACTTACCAAGAAAAAACGCAAACCAACTCCATCGATACATTTTCTTCTACTGAAGTAATAATCGTACAATAGCTGTGGAAAATCAATGATTAATAATCTAATTCTTAAATCTATGGACACTGAAATTCTGGGAAAGTCATATCTATTGTAAAAGAAACGTATTGTTTGAGATGAAAACATCAATAAACTTACAGTAAGCTTCCGAGGTCAGATTTAATGCAATTAATCTGATATGTATAAAGATGTATTATATCTTTTACCAAGAAAATCAATGCGATAACTTTAGATTAATCTTTCACTAAATCCAAGAGATGATATATTTAGAGTAAGATAAATTTCATGTGCGTTCGGTTAATTCCTTGAAAACCATTTTAAAAAATCTCTATGGCTCGTAAATTGAAATAAAACTAAAACGTATATGCCTGTTAGCATCTGCGGTAGAACTGTATAAATCTAATTGCTAATTTACCGTAAATACCCCTAAAACAATGATGGGTATTTAAATTATAATTTTAAAAATCTTACCTTGGTTAACTGCCGTTAGGTACTGACAATATCTTGTATAGAGCTTGTGTGTGTGTATATGATTAAGCGGTTATCCTATTAGATATTATTACAGTCCGTGTCCGACTGTTGTTGCCTTGTTCCATGTGTTCTTTCTATGTTTGCTAAAGGTATAATAGCACCGTGACTTAGCATTAATACTATAAGAATATATTTTTACTGAAGTCCATATGACCCCGTAAGAATTAGTTTTGTATGTATCATTGCTTAACATCATGAATATAGAGTATTGTCCTGCTGCGGCCTCAAATATTTAGAGCATAGCCTATAGGCATACTTAAATAACTAGGTCATTTCGGGACTAACATATGGTTTAATTTTATTTCAATAATTCGCTTGCGCATAGGGGTCTTTAGCAGTGGGAGGAAACCGGAGGACCCGGAGAAAACCCACGAGGTGGGAGGAAACCGGAGGACCCGGAGAAAACCCACGAGGTTGGACAGGCGACCCTACTCCTTGTCACGTACAACCGGGGATTCGAAACCACGCCAGTCGACTCAATGACAGACTTTATGATACAGCGCGCGCACGCTAACCATTCGGCCATCCAACCCCCCAACATGTATCTATATCATATTACGACAGCTATTGTATCGTATAACAGCTATATTATATCGTATGTTATCTATCTATCTAGATACTATTGTAGATAAATTGTACTATATGCTAACTATCTAATCGTGTGGTAACTATACAAATCAAACCGTATAGACTACTATATATTATTATATACTCTTCAAAAAAAGTAGGGGATATTGAAATGCAAATACCTATGCAGGTTGTGATATGATAAATAGTCATGGACACTTGACATGCTTTGAGAGTATGTTTACAGATGAAGAACTTATCGCCCCAACAAAACCACCGAGCTGCACATGCGACACGGGAGAAGTGTTCGTCGACGTCAACGTCAACCGACAACACTGCAAGAATTGGCCGTGGCACTGCAAGAGGAGTGGGTCAGATTTCCCAGAACCGTGATTGGACGGTTGAATTGCTGAATGTCTGAGGATTGGTGGAGCAATTACTCATTATTAAGACAAAAATTAAAAACGTCCATTTTCACTTTTGACAGTGTATCTCTTTGCGAGTGAAATGGGGCCGTCAGGTAAGCCGCCCATATGAAATGTGTTTGTTCATGTGTAGGCAATTGGCCTGTTATTAACATACTCATGGTTACCTCTAATAAAAACAGCAGTGCATTTGCGCAGTTTTGAATTGTTTCTCAATATCCCCTACTTTTTTTTGAAGAGTATATATATGTTGACTTTATATATTAATATAGCGTATGCCAGCTATCTATATTACTTTATTATATCGTATGCAAGCAAACTATATTACTATATTATATCGAATATGCTTTCTTACTATTATTTACAGTCAATATTTATTTAAAAGTAAGGGGCGGAATGACAAATTAATTAATTCATTTGTCGCGATCTTTAGAAAGACGGAATATTATTGTAGGCTACTGTAGAGTCAGAGATCAAAAGTGAAATATTTAGTTACAAAACCTCACAATGCCCCTTTAAGGTTACTCTAGATTTTTCTAACGGCATTGTATTCATTGCTGCCATTCGGTGATCCAGTGCCAAGATATTTAGAAAGAGGGAATATTATTGTAGCCAGAAATTAATAGTGAAATATTCAATTATACAAAATCTGACAATTCCCGTTTAAAGGTACTCTAGATTGTTTTTAAAGGGCCAATCCCGATAATATTTTGGAGAATAAAACGGGTTAATTTTGTGTTAAAATCATTTAAAATCCTCTACCTTAGGGCCGAGCAACTAGCTCAATATATTTGATACGTTTTCAAACAACTTAAACCCGTCAGTCTTAATCTGGAAGTGGGGACCGGTGCCCAAAGCTGTATTATGCGGTGTCTGGATAAAACCAGCCTTTTATTTTATAAAAATAATGTGCAGGTAAAATTTACCCTTCGTTATCAAGTACAGCACATGGGTCATTCACTGTATAAACCTCTAAAGAAACGGGAATCGATTATCAGGTCACCGAACGAAAGAATTGACCCAAAATCTTAAAAGGGTTACGTGTCCGGATAAGCAATTTTGACGTTCACTTCTAAATGACTAAATGACTCAATATTTTGAGCTGAAATTTTGAGACAGGGTAAATACACCATTTCTTTATACTTTGACGCTTAACTTTCATACGTACTCGGACTTTTTATTTTGAGACTCTGTTCAATTCGGGATAGTCCCTTTAACTGTATTATATTCATTGCTGCCTTTCAGTGATCCAGTCAATTGAAATGTGTTCAGAAAATCGGAATATTGAATCAATTTTCTGTCGATTCATTTGATTGTACCAATAGGTCTACAGGGGGTGAACGAGGTGGTTATATGGAACGAGGTGGTTATATAGGACAATTTTAAATGTTAAAATTGTTTTGAAAATATAAAAGAAACGTAAGTATTTGATCTTGAAGCAGCTTTATAAAAAACATTTTAAAGAACCTCAAACTCACATATTTTTCTAGACACTCTGCTTGTCAACGGTATCTTGTTAAACCCACTCTTCCAAAATGTGGGCTTATCTTGCATGGCAACCGCTTGTTATGTATTAAGAAGGGAGAAAATATCTGAAATGGGGTCTGCTAGAAGCATTTATCTACATTCTTGTGCTGTTTCTCAACACACTTAATATACATCATAAACATGTGACTTTAGAACGTGTTTGGTTGTCGGTATGTTATGTGCATTTATAATTTTCTTATTTTTCGTCATGAAATTCAGGGCATACATTATATCCCTGTGGTGTGCGGCATCGAGCATTGGATTTCAAATTTAACCGACACGAAAATAAACAGTATACGGATATGCTTCCATCAAACACGGTCCAAGAGTGTCAACTTTATCGCCGCATGTGCTGAAAGTCCATAACATCAACATTAGGAATGATAATTGTCATGTAGGCACAGCATTTCAATTTAATACTTTATTTTGATGAACATAAAAATTGAACAGAAATTAATTAGGGTTTAACGTCCTACTGTTCTGCTCCGACTGGGCAAATGAAGACGGTATACGCCATGTAGTGTGCTTTGAGGGAAATTTTCCCCGGACAACGGCAGTATGTACATGGGACCTCGGTGTTTCGTCCATTTAGCGACTATACGTTGCCCCTTGACAGGTCCTTCGCGCTACAACACTGACAAGGGGAAACCACCCCGGAAAATTAAGGTGAGCTTTCTTGGCCAATACCGGGATACATAAAAACTTTCAGATTAACTAATTTTCAAAGGGTGATGTGTCTACTATTTTATTTTAAAAACTCAAAATATTTATGACAGATCGGAAACGTAAGAGACGTTAGAATTACCCCGAACAGACATTAAAGTTATAATTTGTATTGCATCAAATTCCATCCACCCCTTCCATAAAAAAAAGAAAAAGAAAATCAAGGTAACACGTATAGATTTATTTTGTTCAAATTTCAAATGTTTCTGGGGTTGCTAATTAAAGTACATGGATAGGATAGTTGTCACAACAATTGAAGCTACTGATAATATCAGGTTTTCAAAATAAAGGGGCATCACTTCTTGGACAAGTTTACCCGTAGATAAAAACATTTAATACAAAAATAAAAGTATATAACTCAAAGTAGTATAATTATTACAATATCAACATCAACATGATGTAAAGGAAACAGTTATTAATACTGTATATCTTTTAAAACATTAATAATATTGATTATGCAATATAGATATATTTTTAAAACATAAAATATTTTGAAAGACATTCGTTGAAAAAGAGGAATGGGGGATTATTAAATTGTACTTTTCCTTACAAAGGATAAAATCTATTATTTTTAAATCAAAATCAATACAATTGCATCCATATAATTGATACGGCAGAACTACGCCTTTCATTTCTCCAAATTTTGCGGAAGTCGATAATATTTAGCGCATGCTGTTGCATTTTGCTACTTGAACTGTCGACAACTAAAATAATTACCCGTCCAATTAGTGAATGTACCGGACTTCAATCGACAATTCACATACAAATCAAATGAATGCAGTTCTTTATAATTCCTGGAAAACACGTCACGGTAGAGTCAATGAGTCGACATTTAGTTACACCCAGGAACTAAATAAGGCCAGTTACATATCAAAAGTTTTGAGTCAAATGCCAAACCGGGTGGACAGTGTTTCGTATATACAACATTATGAGCACAGTGATAGAATATAGTACAATCATTGGGGTTACCTCCATATCCATTGACACCACATGACGGTACAACTGAAATACACATTTTCAACAAAAATTAAACATTTAATCAGATTATGGAAATTAGAAATAATTATTTGGCATTCGTAAATTCGGAAAAAGAGGGGTGAAGGAGTAGCGCGTGGTAGTCGGGGGGTCCGGGAAATGGAATGAAATGGGGTTTAACTTCTTATTGTTCTACTCTGATTGGGCTAATAAAGACGGGCATACGCCATACAGTGTCCTATGAAGAAATTTTTTCCGGACAACGGCGCTACGGCCTACTCTTATATCGAAGAGATCTTTTATTGCGTGCACGCCAATGTGTACGCGGGACCTCAGTTTTTCGTCCAATCCGAACAAATAGACAGCTGTCCTTGTCAGACACACTTCCTGCACAACTGACAAGGGGAAACACGCTGGATAATCCCGATGAACTATCTCGGCCAATCCGGGAGGGAGCCCGCGACCCGCAGGCTAGCGAGTCAGCGTCTTACCCACTTCCTCCACCGTGGCTCCCGGGTGTTCAAGGAACTGGACACTTGACTAGAATATCCTAGTATATAATCTAGACGTGGACCTAGAAGAACCGTTGGGATTTTCTAGCATGGTCCCCACTAATCAGATTTTGCAGTATTCGGTACGTTTGAATACATTCCCATGGCTGTTGAAAATCAAGGAAACAGACTAGTCGGATATGCTACTGTCCGGGCAATATTGTTTCCATTCGCACTGCACACGTAACCTTAGAAACTGCCAGTCCCACCCCATTCCTAAAAATAGTTTTATTTTATAGATTTCGAGTGAAATACAAGCAAACACCGACATGCAATCTGATTAAAATACAGATCTATATTTCGTTTCCGGTTTTTCTTAATACTTTCGATTGCCTACTACATGAATATCTGACCAGTTGTACTGGGAGGACACGTCAGTGGTCGGACGAGCCGCTTTTGGCCCTATGATGTCAGACATTGATTAATCAATCAGCGTTAACGTTTGTAGTGGTTTACTACCCAGAAGTCACCATAACAGATGGTGTCATTGACTAATACCTCACGCCATCCCGAACGCAGGTTATATAACAAATCTTCCAGATCCTAGTGTAATAGAGACAAATAAAACGAAATTTTGAACTATAAAAAAAAACGAAACAAAATAAGATCTGTGTTTTAATCAGATTGACCGAAATAGGGTTTAATATCATATATCAGATTATAATATAGACTAGATAACTTACATTTACCACTCATGTTGGTGGAGGTGGTGGTTTGCGATGTTGTCGGACTCGTAGTGGGTGACTTCGTTGGTGATGTAGTAGGACTCGATGTTGTCGTTGTAGGTGATGTTGTTGCACTGTTGATATTTGTAGTGGTTGTAGTCGCAGATGTAATTGGAGGAGTAGTCGCAGATGTAGTTGGCGATGTAGTTGGAGGAGTAGTCGTAAGTGTAGTTAACGATGTAGTTGGAGGTGTAGTCGCAGATGTAGTTGGCGATGTAGTTGGCCATGTAGTTGGAGGAGTAGTCGGAGATGTAGTTGGAGATGTAGTCGTATCCACTCCCTCGTCGGTTAACTCATTTTTAATTGCATTGAGTAGAGGGTATGATCCCTGACCACATGCTTCGCCATTAAAATCATCAAAATCTAACGACCATACAAACACCCCGGCTAATCCCCTCGTTTTAACGTACTTAGACTATAAAACAAATTAAACACAATCACCAAACAAATTAAACACAATCACCAAAACTATATCACCATAACGTAGTTCATAATTATCTAGCCACAATTTTTAAATATATAAAATTGATGTTGAGAAAATATTTTATCAAATTCTGATAAATAGTTTGTGAGAATTATTGTGTTCCATTTTAAGATTACTCAAACTCAAATATGTTTTGATAACAAATCGACAAGGGCTATTTTAAGCGATATTTAGTCATGACGCAAAGCTACATTTGTGTCAAATAGAAAATTACTGCATATTCATCCCAAAATGATAGAAGTATTTTGTTAATGAAATGTTATAGTTTACATTTTTGTCTATTTTTATCAGTCTATACTGCAATGTTACCTTTTCAGTAAAACTTCTGGGTGTATCATAACCTGCCCAGTTCCACGCTCCATAGATTTGACCATACGCATAAGGTACCGACTGTTCGTCACTCCATACAGAAACCCAGCCTTTATTTTTTACATAATTACACATCTGTTAAAAATAAAACATGATCTTAACTGTTAATCAGTTACTATACATGTACAACTGTTAATTAGTTTTCAAGGGTATATCGACGAAGCCTTTGTATTTGTTCTTTGATTGCATGCTTTACTATCCTTTATAGATTCGTGTTACTAGACTGGTGGGGGGGGGGGCTAAGCGGATCTGATAGAACTTTCTCCGTATAGAATTCAAATCTGAACTGTAAAGTTGCCGCCGTTTGGACTTTTGTCCTCTATTCTGGGTAATGGGGGATATTACGGCTCTCAACCAATATTTATTTATTTGATGGGGTTAGGATGCATTGAGACACGATGACATGGGTACAGGCTACTGAATCACTTTATAAAAAGTTCAACTTTACCTTTGACCTCTATAGGGTAAAGTACAGATTTTGCTCTGTTCGCGCCTGTTCTCATAATATTAATACGGGAAAATTATTATTTGTTTGCATTTATACTATGTATTCTACATGTCGTTGAGTCTTTGTTGCCTACATTAACGTAGACCGGGTTCTGCCGTTTAACTACGAGTTTCACGGGACAGCGCATGCTTACTCTTTCTAGAGCATCTGATACCACTGTGCACTGGATGTATCTGTGAGAGAAATGTTATGCTACGCTACTTTATTTTTGCATTTCCATTACAAATTTCCAACAAATAATGAATGTTTAACTCTGTCGTGTTAAGGATTCACGAATTAGAATTGACTATACCAAAGAAGATTCTTACCTCATAATACGATTGAAAACCCGCCATTCCTGTAAATTCCCCTGAACCACCAGCGCCATGAGAAGGCGATCCAGGTGCATGTTGAGTTCCGCTACTGATTACAAAATTCCTGGCATATGTTGATAGACCTAACATGAGTTTATTAGCTGGAACACCTTTACCAATCCAATAATCTATAGCCCGCTCCTGTTGATAAATATCAGGAATGGAATGAATACATGCATTGCAAAAGTTCTCTTATGTATAAAATACAAATTTCGACAAATATCATTATGTTCTCCAGAACAGGTAAGGGGATGGCAGAGTAAATATATTTTGTAAGATAAAAAGTCAGATACAATGTACAAGGGAAAAGCTTTACAATAAAGCGTCAAGATAAAAATAAGCATTAGCTAGATAGAGAGAAATGGTGTTTAACGTCCAAACGAGACAAACTAGCTCATTTCAGATTATGGTTCAATTTATTTTCAATAATTCACAGTGTAAGGGTGTTTGCAGTGGGTGGAAGCCGGAGGACCCGCAGAAAACCGAACACATGCTAGACACAGATGTGGCGTTTCCTTAACAACGGTAATCAATAACGGCCAATTCTTAAGTTGACACTGAAAGAGAAATGGGGTTTAGAGTTCATTCAACACGAAATAGGTAATTCAGGAACTGTCATACGTGTACATTTTTATTTCGATAATTTGCTAGTGCGTAGCCGTCGGGGGACGCCGATGGACCCGAAATCAACGGGTTAATGTAGGCGAACCTACTCCGTTTGATGATGTACTATAAACGTCTGGGATCGAAACCACGCCAGTGGACTCAATGGCAAATTCCATTAGATCCTTCCTCTTTCTCCGTTCCCGCACTTAAGATGGGTAAAAGAAAGGTTTATGACTCTGGTTTTAAAACGAAGTCAAACAAGAAACACTTCTCACCATATCCCAGTCCGAACTGAAACTTGTAGCTGGATATAGAGCACTGTGATGTTGTACGCTAGGCAACCACGTTCCGGCTAGATCATAGCTCATTACATTTATAAAATCTAAATATCTACAAAAAAGTTGTATCAAAAATTAACAAAATCATTAGATTATAAATTATGAATATCTACAACCGTTTAAACATACATTATGCAAGACTATTTCAGGTCTTTCTTTAGGGCTGAAATGTTATCTAAATTATTAATTAGACATTGATTAACTTATCCAGACCATAATCAACTCTCGATGTCATCGGAAGCCTGTGATGTTTATTGGATTAGGTTCTGATTCGTTGTTCTAATCCCATTCATGATTTAATCATGAAATATATAATCGAGACTATGTTTTTTTTTATCGTACCGACTTTAGTAATGATGATCGAGGCTAGGCCCGAAATTCCTTCACTAAATTATCGGTTCAGAGTGGATCAATTTAACTGAAATGTTCAGCAAATTCCCTTTCAGATTATCTAGTTTGTAACTATTATAGTGAGAACTGTCAGCTCTTTATCTAATCTCCCAAAATGTATCTTTAGTATATAAATATTGTTGTTTTAAAGGGACTGCTTGACTGTACATATTAAAATGATGTCACTGCGGAACCGTATACATATATCAATTTTGTTATTTTAAAGGAGCCTAACATCGGAACCGGATAAATACCGTTATTTTATAAGCACTTCATTCCCTATATCAATATTGTGTTTTTAAAGGGACATAACCGCCGACCCGTGTTTACCAATATCGTGGTTTGAAGGGACATAATCGCGAAACCGTAAATATCCATAATAAACCCTTCATAATGAGGAAGAATGTCAGATGTTCTAGTCCGAGTAAACATGATATCATCAGTCATGCTAACTGGAGCGATGGTTTGCACCTTGATTAACACGAAGCGGAGGCTTACTGAGTTTAAGATAACCTTTGGATCAAAGGTCATCCACTGAGTCATCAGGTGTACATTTGAAAGTACATTACAAATTTGATAACTGACTTCATATTAAAACTTTAAATTATTACGTATTATTTTGATTATAACAAATATATCCTACTGGTGTATGGTACTGTGTTCGTAAGCTCGATTAGCAAACCATGGACTTGAAGATACTGCAATGATCAGGTCTAAAGGCGGCTTTCCAGATGTCTGAGATTCCAATGTAAATTCGCTTCTTAAAATCTTTATTAATAAAAAAACAAAATTATCAATAGAAGTTGTAAATCTAAACAATAGAAGTTGTAAATCTAATAATAAACACTATATGGATACAATAAAACAATCACTGGTTTATTGTATAAGCACAACATGTCAGCAAGTATCCTCTTATCGTTATGAAGCATAGGTTATTATCAAAATACGTTTCATTTCATTTATTACAATACCTACTCTTAATAAAGTAGTAAATCTCTGTTTATCGGCCGGAGATGAACCTCGTTCAACGGCACCGGGAAATTCCCAATCTACATCGAATCCATCCAATTTCCATTCGCGGAGTTTAACGATGACATTCTTTGCGAACGTGGTTATATTAGCTTCTGATGCGACTATGCTTGATAAATCAGTACTAGCAGCATTCCATCCACCAACTACTCCATAAACTTTTAACTCTGGATTCGTATTTTTCAGCCCAACAACTTGACCAATCCTTTCTATAAGTAAGAAAAATGCAAGCTATTAAATACTAGAGATACCACGTTGTAAATTTGGCTGATATCTGAAAGCATGGAGTGTTTTAAACGATTTAGTTCTTAAATTATTATCTTGATAAATATTTTGGAAAATTTAATCGATCAATGTATACCATTATCATTCCACTCGTAAGGTTCAATAGATTTGCTATTCATTTTAAGGAAAGAATAAAAAATGTGGGTACACAAAAATTATTATCGAGAGAAATTTACTTGAAATTATGATCAGTGCATGTATATAAAGGACTTACCATTATCATTCCACTCGTAAGGTTCAATAGTTAATGCTATGCTATTCATTTTAAGGAAAGAATAAAATATATGGGTACACAAGAATGGCTCTATGTCTTTAGGTGTGTAAGTATAGGGACTGCTTCTGTACTGTGCCCAATTTGTATAGTAACACCCTCTTTTATAGGCGGCACTAGAAACTCCAACAACTAAATAAAAATAAACATAATATTTTTTAAACTGCACTGTTTGTAACAGTCAAATTTTTAAATATTAAAAGTGTGAATATTATGCAAGCGATTCTTTGTTTAATAGAAATTAGCACATCATTCCCTCGGGGAGGTATAGAGATAAAAATTCTCTTTTAATTTCCACAATGTATAATTATTATAACTACCGCGGTGCAACTATCAACGCTTATTATTCAATTTATTATAAACACATGTATACAATAATATTATAGCCACTGAGAAATACAAATTTATATACCGATGAGAACGACTGTCATGTTGACATTTTGTTAGATGTAAATTGTTATCGGAAATATCCGGCGTGGTTCCCCCTTGTCAGTGATGTAGGACAGCGGGTCTGGCAAAGGGTAACGTATAGCTGCGGGAGAAACCAGGGAACCCGGAGAAAACCCATGAGGTTTTATTGGCGACCCTACTCCTTATCACATATAAGCGGGGAATCGAAACCACGCCACTTGACTTAACGACAGAACTTATATGATCTAAGCGCACATGCGTTATACCATTCGCCCCACCCCCTCCCATCCCACCCCGACCTAAGACAAATATGTTCATGAATTATTATCTAAACCTTCGGGGCCTCACTTGCATATTCGGATAATATTAAATTTTGATTTTGCACGGTTTTATACTGCTAACCGATAAACTGTACTAAAACCGATAATGTAACTTCTTTGAGACAAAAAAAAATACAACAACAAATTGTTAATATTAAGAGTAGATAAACTTGCATTAAATCAGTCTAGCTGTATATAGGCAAATTAATTTGTATAGCCCGGTAGTAAAAGATTACTTACCAAATGCCAAACACAAATATATGACCACAGACGTGTCGGGAACCAGCGCCATTTTAAATACAAACTGAAAATATTAATTTTTAACATCCTTGTAAATTTATAATATAAAAAGGAAATTGTCAATGTTGAGTCACACAATTCACATAATCAATCAGACATTACCAGTTTGTATCCCTATAGTTATTTCCCTTTCCTTCTATAAATTACTTACATGATGTTTCACCGACAGAAGTTTAAACGCTGCATGAATAACATATTATTATTGTCTACACGCATCAGGAAGTTCCGTCAAAGTATTTACTTTATGCATGTCTTAATTCTTACCGTGGGTATATCATTTATTCCAAAAGGAATAGCAGCGACATTTAAATAGACTACTGTAACGCCTTGTTTAAAAAATAAAAATTTTACTAAATGAAATACGTGATATGCAAATTAGTAGAATCATATTTTGTTTTGTATTCACATATCCTTATTCGGGTGTTTGGTGACAAATTAAATTTAAACTTCCGTAAAATGCATACAATGGTATTTTTCTACATTTTGTTCTAAATTTATGATGAAATAAATTAATGTGTCATCATGCATCTTAATTTGATAGTAAAACGATCTACAGCAATGCCTGTAATATAAGCAGCTCGTTTAAACTAAAATTTCGTTTTCACATATAATTATATAAGAAGGACAACCTATTCGAGAAAAAATAAATTGCTACGGCATACAATCTTTAAAATACCAACAAATATAATTGTGGATGTCCTCTGGCCAGAATCGACTTGCTTTTAAAGTAATACAAAATAACGAACGAGGTCTTAAATTTAGTTTTTGCACTATAATTTCTCGGCCAAAAATTTAAATCTATAAAATAACATGTCCACAGCTTTACACGTGAAGAAGTACAGTTAATAGTCGTGTTTATAAACAACACATTTGGCAAATGGGTTCAGCTCAAAGCCTGTAATCGAAAAACGACATACTGAAATAATGAAACATTTTTTGAAGTTCAACAAAATTAAAACCTGTAGTTTTCAACTAACCTTATTATTTGGCTAAGCTTCCTCACTCCCCAGACAGTTATGAATGCCGTATGGTACAACAAGACAAAATATAAAATTGCACAATGGGGATCAAGAAAGGTGTTATCATTGGAACTTAATGTACAAATTGGCCATTTCATCAGATACAAATCTCTTTAAATACACGCCTTTATTGAATAACAGCTTAATTAAATAAGAGGTTTTAGCTACAGGGGCTAGTTTCAACTTGAGAGAGAGGTTATCGTATTTATGGGTCATCTGGCAGTCACTGTTTTCCCTTTGATTTTATCGCATTCTTTTTATTTATTTCAGACTGTGTTGTAGTTCGATAAATATCAATTACGGTTTTATTGGAGTGATAACTGACCACAAACTTGATTGTAAATGTTAAATTGAAAAAGGACACCCTGTAGTTCTATGCCGGCAACCGAGCCTTTTATTATCCGATGCATGACAACAACTATGTCGCATGGATGAATTGGTGTAGCCGCGATGTAGACAGAGTGTGATATGTTGTGAAAATATTTTCCTGGTCTGTTGGACCCCTTTATTCTTCTGAGCTCAAGTTACGGAATATACTGTTAACTGATTAAGCTAGTGAAGCATTATTCCCGTAGTAGGACGTTAAACCCCAATTCATTTCGTTATTCCCGTTTTTAAGGTTTTGGGAGATGTTCTAAAAATCATAAGCGAAAAGGTTTTTTTGTGCAATGGTCGAGCAGTTAATATTAAATGTCTGATTAATAACCATGCTATAGATATGCATACCCTAGCATATCCAAAATTTAAATGATTTTTTCTTTTTTTAAAAACGGACACAATTGTGGATGATTGTAATTACTGACAATGAACTATGAGAATAAAACGATTTATAAAACCCACAGACAAGAATACACCTGTTACAGACAAGATATATACCAGAAGTAAAATTTCATTCTAATTGAATAACGATAATAGTATACAGAACTGTTTATTATTATTATTCAGAGGAAGTCCCAGTTGTAGTGAGGGGGGGGGGTGTTAAAACACCTACTCGACACGAATTAGGTCATTTCGGGACTGACCTGACTCAATGACCTTGTAGTCTAACACACATGCGTTAAACCGTTCGGTCACCTAACCCCTCTGGTTATTATCCAGTAAAATTTGGGAAATATTGACAGCTGACCCAGACCCTCCATACGTTGAAGACAAAGGGGTAATGGGTGTCCGAGGCTACAGTTCTACAAGTACCAGATTTTATTGTTATGTCCGATGGAAACAACGCACGTTGTTATTGAAGTCGTATGATGTGGCGTCACACGTAGAACTATACCGTGCGTGACCTTAAAGGTCAGTCATCTTGTCAATGGTTAAAAAAGGTATTTGCTTAACCGCTATGAAACCGTTTGATCATTTTCCCCCACTGTCCGATAATTAGTAAATATTTCGTTATTCTACTTTGAGCCAACTCCATATTTAACACACGTGGATTAAAATGAGCAATTTCGTTTTCGCCTGGATCCAACATTGAAAAAAAGGGGCGTATCTTGGATTTTTGATGGTGATCGGGCTTAGTTAAGGGGAGGCAACCCTTTAATGTCCCGATTATCAGACTAGTAATTATCTGCCCATTGACTTTAATGTTAAATGGCAATATCCTCATCATAATTTTGTAGAGGGTGGACCGTTTAGATTTTTTGCTACGGGGATTTGATGTTGACTGGGGTGAAAATCTCACTTCCGACACAATGATTGCTCTGCAGAAAGACACTTTACACCCCCTATCCGTCCGCTGTAATATCATCAGTATTACCCAAAACTTCTATGAAATTGCAAATTTGATCCCTTTTCTCCAATTCTAGACCAAAAAGTCAACCCAAAAATGCAGGAAGAGGGGAGAAAAAAATTAAGGAAAACATTGTCTATTTATAACTCGCACTAAATAAGGGGAAATAATTACTAGTCTGAGTCCTAATAGTAAATCAGACAAGAAAGCTGTTGACCCCAGTCTCAGTACATCTTCTGACAGTGAATTAAAGATGTGCATTTGTGTTATAAACTTTAAATAAAGTTTGAAGTATTGTATATAAACACAATAAACCCAAAATGGAACATTAAGTATTTATTTTAAGGTTCTAATAATTTAAAAGAAAACAAACAACAGTTTCTGCATTCTTATGTCTAAATTTGGTCACCTTCAAATCTTTTAATACTTATCACTTCATTAGTCATATGAATGAAGTGCTTATTTGAATAATATATGATTTATAAGCTTTACACAATAGTTACACATAGTAAAACAATGCCAAACCGTTAACAAATACTTAAAACATATACGATAGCACTGTATGGACCAGGAACATGACATCATCGCCGCTTTTTTGGAATTGTGACATATCAAAAATTGAAATATCGTCCATCGATGCCCAATATTGTCCTGGTAATAAGCACACCGAGTTTCAAGTTGATCACAGTTCATCCATTGATGCCCTCAAGGTGGAGAACAAGATGAGTAATGCCTGGTGACCAGTTTCTGGTCCAAACAGCACAGAACATCATAATATAAATATCGGGCACCTGGGTATCAAGTTGTAAGACCGAAAAGAATAGATCATTTGCAACCAACAGAGAGGGAGAAACGGGGTTTAACGGCCAATCGAGAAAAACTAGGTCATTTCAATAAATTGATTACGCCTAGGGGTCTTTAACAGTGGGAGGAAACCGAAGGACCTGGAGAAAACCCCCGGGGTTGGGCAGGCGGCCCTAATCCTTGTCACGCACAAGCGGGGAATCGAAACCACGATACTTGACTCAATGACAGACTTTATTATTCAACGCACACGCGTTAACCATTCCGCCAGCCGCACACCCCTAGCCACCAACAAGTACAATCATTGAATGAATCATAGAGATACGAACTACAACTGTAGTGTTATTATTGTCTTCGTAAGAGACCATCTTGTGAACCTACCCATTCAAATCACCAGAAATGGACAGACTGGTTATAGGGCAAAATTATGTACACATCGAAGGGAACTATGTAGAAAAATAAATAGAAACCATCGACTTTGTACAGGTTTTTCACAGATAGGCTCAGAGCTTTTCAGCCAGCAATCGTATGCCCACTTGTAATTTGTCGTGCAGGTACATGTAGAAGTGGAAAACTGCCAGGGGATTACTGTTTTTATTGTGACATGTATTCAAAATGAATGGGCGAAAGTTACACGGTTTGGTTACAAATTGTCATAAACCCAAAAGTTACACTGGCAATGGATAAAAATCAAAAGGAGTCTTCTATTCATAGTCAACCTATACTATTTTTGTTTAATAAAGTAAACGATAATACGTTTAGCCTTCAGGGTGTAAAGAAGGTTCCGTTGCATTGAAGCAGTAACTCGGTTTGAAAATGACTAGTATTCGTACCTTTATAAAGCCAATCAGTATATATGCATATTTAAAACAATATTGAATGAGGAACTGAACAACCGGTACTCTAACATGTCTTTTTGATAGAGACATAATACTCGAATTTAAATCTTCAAAAACAAGAGTCTCCCTGTTATATAGTCTGCTAGTAATGTAATGAAATATCAGATAATAATAAAGGGGTGGGCTAACGGATACACATTCACTATGGGTTTATAAAAAACCAGCGGCTGCCAGGCAGGATACGCCCACATTTTCGAGAGATGGATAGAGAACAAGCTAACAAGAAAATGATTTTTCCTACTATCAAGGGCCAGAATTCAGGAAATTACAATTCAATATGCGCGAATATCGAAAGGAACTCAGATCTTTGTTTTATAAACTTACATTTCAAGTTTCAACAAAATCGGATAAACATTGTGACGTCTATAGGGTCCACAACCTTGATATACCGTATTTTTACGCTATTTGAGAACGAACGGCGGCTATTTTGTCTGTCAATTTTGGGTTGATTTTCACGAAATTCGAATTCAGTCGTCCTTAGGGTGTAACAGTGAAATAATAATACAGTTTTTTAAATTGGATAAAAATTATGACCTCTATAGGGTCCACAAGCTAAAAACGCGATTTGTCGTACAATCAGGGGCCATAATTCAGGAAGTGACTGTCCGATATGCGCGAATATCGAAAGGAACCGAGATCTTTGGGTTATAAACTTACATTTCAAGTTTCAACAAACTCGGATAAAAATTGTGACCTCTATAGGGTCCACAACCCTGATATACCATATTTTTACGCTATTTGAGAACGAACGGCGGCCATTTTGTCTGTCAATTTTGGGATGATTTTCACGAAATTCAAACTCAGCCTTCCCTAGGGTGTAACGGTGATATAATAATATGTTTTTTTAAATCGGATAAAAATTATGACCTCTATAGGGTTCACAAGCTAAAAACGCGATTTTTCGTACAATCAGGGGCCATAATTCATGAAGTTATGGTCCGATATGCGCGAATATCGAAAGGAACAAAATCGGATAAAAATTGTGATCTCTATAAGGTCCACAACCTTGATATACCATATTCTTACGCTATTTGAGAACGAACGGCGGCCATTTTGTCTGTCAATTTTGGGCCGATTTTCACGAAATTCGAACTCAGTCGTCCTTACGGTGTAACGGTGATATAATAATACGGGTTTTTAAATCGGATAAAAAATTATGACTTCTATAGGGTCCACAAGCTAAAAACGCGATTTTTCGTACAATCAGGGGCCATAATTCAGGAAGTTATGGTCAGATATGCGCGAATATCGAAAGGAACCGAGATCTGTGGGTTGTAAACTTACATTTCAAGTTTCAACAAAATCGGTTAAAAATTGTGACCTCTATAGGGTCCACAACCTAAAAACGTGATTTTTCGTACAAACAGGGGCCATAATCCATGAAGTTTCGATCCGATACATGCCAATATCGAAAGCAGTCGAGATCTTTTGGAGATAAACCTATATTTCAAGTTTCGTCAAAATCGGATAAGAATTGTGACCTCTAGAGTGTCCACAAACAAATTGTGGACGGACGGACGGACGTCCGGACGGACAGGGGCGACGGCATAATACGTCCACATGAAAATGTGGGCGTATAAAAATTCTATATAACCATTGCACTAAATCTACAGTATATAACAATTAAACAAAGCAACATAGTGAAAAATAATATCATGAAATACATGTTCATTTATATTCTGAATATCTTACTAGGCATTGTAATGAAAAAAATAATATAGAACAATTGCACTAAATCTACAGTATATAAGGGGTTTGCGAGAAATATTAAATTTTCGCCTTACTTCTGGAATTCCTAAACATTGAATTTTCAAGATCCCCCATTATTGACATCCTAAAAGCAATGGCGTTCTACTATTTAGCAAAATCATGCAACTCTTACAATAAATCTATACATTTAGAGAATAAATTTAATATTTCGATCGTATGTACACACCAAGGCAGGAATAACACAAATCATGTTGCATATAAATGTGTAAATCCCTTATCTTCTACACAGAGGATAATCTTCAGCATCAACTAATAGTCCTCTCTCTTCATAATGTTCTGTTAATTCCTTCCATGTTCGATGACATTTCAATAGATGTGTGTTACCTAGAACATAAATCCAATATTAAAGACAAAATAATTATTCCAAAACACAAATATTCATTGGCTAAGAGCTAAACTTTGTGCTAGTATTTTAAACCCCCGGCCAATAAAAAGTTGTTTACTATGGGTGTTTTTATTGATATCTTAACATCTTATTTAATTAGAATGTACAAATGAAATGGAGTTTAACGTCCTACGTTTTCTCACCATCCGGGCCATTGAAGACGGATTCTTTAATAATAAATAAGGAAGACATCTGACTGGAGCTGAACACCATGGACATTGTGTGGAGATTACAGTTCCTTGCCTGTTACACACACCAATCAATAAAACCGATGCCATGTTCTTCTAGTAAAACGCTTTGATGCCAGATATATTTTCTAAATGAACTGACCACAGGAGTCGGACCTTCTATCCGTATAATATGCACACACCATGCCCAACACATAATGCCCAACCTGACAATATATAATGCCCAACCTGACGATATATAATATATATTGTCTGGTTGGGCATGGTGTAAGCATAGTAAACTGACTTACCAATAATAATAAAACCTTGTTTAGCACGGGTAATGGCTACATTTAGTTGGTGATCATCGGCTATAAACCCCAGATTCTCTCCGATCCACGACCGGGACGGATCATGCTCTAACATATCTTTTGCTAAACTTCTTACAGTAGACAAAATAACATATTCCCATTCACTACCTGTATTTGATCATACAAATAAATAACAAAGTATGGCAAATTATTTGTCCTATTTTTATGAAACTTGAATTCCCACCATCTATCCAACCAAAAATCGAAATAATGTCAAAGTATTTCAAAAGACTAAAGACTAAGAAAGAAGGTGATAGAGATAGAAATGAAATGAAATGGGGTTTAACGTACTACTGTTCTGCTCCTATGCTGGGATAATGAAGACGGGCATACGCCTTACGGTGTGCTATGAGGGAAATTTTGCCCGGGCAGCGGCACTATCGCGACTCTTATATCGAATGCAAACTGCCAAGGGATCTTTTACGTGCATTCTAATGTATACACGGGACCTCGGTTTTTCGTCTCATCCGAATGACTAGACAGCTGTCCTTGTCAGGTCCTTCGTCCTGCATCACTGACAAGGGGGAACCACGCCGGAAAATCTGGGTGAACTTTCTCGGCCAATGCAAGGATCGAACACCCAAACTCCAGGCTAGCGAGCCAGCGTCTTACCCACTTAGCCACGTGATCCCTTGATAGAGATAGAACAATGCCTTTGGGACAATGCTATTGTATGTCATTCAAAGGTTTCCATCAATAAATGTATTCAGTATATATTTTCAGTGATTACAAACATGATCGACTACGGGTATGTATTATTTTTCGACTCTCAAAACCGATAGAAGAGGATGGGTGATTGTCACGCCTCTTTATACGCCCATCAGCTAGCTCAAGGAAAGATAACCCCGGAAAATGCATTCGTAATTTTCAATAAAGATTAAAAAGAAATTAGATAGGGTTCTTCCTTATTCCCGAATTAACAATACCACCCAGGTTTTGTTTTAAATTCCAGAAATAACTTCTCCACATGTGTTCAAAAGCTTTCATAAGTTAGTCTCCGTAACCCAGAACCTCATTATAGTCTTCAACGTATGGAAGATCCGGTTAAGTTGTCAACATTTTGCGACATTTACTGGATGGGCAATGGCATTTTTAGCTAAAGTCATAACGACGACGAATCGCCGAATCGGTGTTAATACAAAACATAGATATGGTCATTAAAGAGAGAAATTTTACAATAAAACAAATTAAGAGTGTTGGATATTAAACAGGCAATATAAGCAGATTTATCTAAAATGCCAATTCATGGGCGTTGAAATCTTGTTTTAGGGCTAGTTATCTTCCTTAGATTTGGTTCATAATAATCTAAAAGACAGAATAATCTAGTCAATGACCTACTTAGTCTCAAATGTTGATAACCCATCCAGATAAATATTCCACGAGACTATTCATAAGTTTGAATGTAAACGAGGGGATAACAAAAATCAGCATTTCTACAGAATTCTTCTTTATGATAAAATGAAGAATCCATGCAAATCTGAAAATATCTCAAGATATATGACCTTTATGATGTTTACATGAAATTGTGGACTAGCCACGGACTGGCGGACAACAGACAAAGGTGTCGATAATATAAGTCAAGATTAAATATTGGCATATACAAATTGTGTGCATGAAGATAAAACTAAAAATAACCATGCTTTGATATAAATCCACAAATCTGTGCCCGTACCATAAAACTGGCGATGCAATTTTGTTCCAATTGAGATTCTTGTAATAACAGAATAGTCTTGAAAATAAAAAATATTGCGTATATCGTCCTGTATGCAAATCGTCAGTAGATTAAAATTACATACCTTGACTGGCTACCACTGTTGATACTTGTATTTCTGGTAACTCACAGTCCTTTAGAGCACTTTTTATAGCAGAGCATTGCGCTCTGTACGGAGACATTAATACAATTTCTTCTCTCTTACGTTCCCACTTTTTAACTAAATTAATTGCCACACTAACCTTATAAATATATATATATATATCAGTATAGCGTAAGTATCATTAGAGAATTAGCAGATAATTATAATGCAGACCTTTATCTGTTAACATTTCGATTAGAAATGGAACAAGTCACATAGAATGAAATTTCTACTTTTCTAAACTCATAGCAAAGCTCCCATTTCCCCTATATTCAATCTGTCGTTTTTACTTACGACTAAATAAAGTAACTTACTGCAAAATCGACTTCTTTCGGGTTGCTTTTTGACATTGCAGATCCGTCTTCTGTGGCGACAGTTAACGTTTTTTCGTCTCCCTCTGTATGACATAAAGCAGTTGGTAAAAGTCTTCCCTGCGGCCAAACATCTAATTCAACAGGTTGACTTTGCCTGTCTGTTGCACATCTTAACCTACCACCATAAAACTTGGTTGAAGGGAACTCCATTATACCTTCATGCTAAAACAGAATATTTTAACATATCTTTATTTTTTCAGTTTTTTTTTATTCACCACCAATTTCTCCATATAAGCACTGGTCCAAATGTACAGTTAGCAGTAATAACGATACATATAACCAATCATATCTTGTATCTTAGGAAGCAGCACTTGATGAACTGGGTTACTGATCTTTATCATTTCTAGATGTTTATTGAGTAAAACTCGTCGGATCATTAAAATGGCATACAAGTGTTGAGTCATAAAAAATAATCAATTATCTCACCATACGATATTGTTTTTCCAACATGAGTGCTTGTTTGGCATATCTCTCAAATAATGAGGTCTGTAGACCTAACTGTTTAGCTTTCTGTTCAGTTAATATAGGTTGTAGTTGTTTATGGTCACCTATCAATACTATATTACTAGCATCAAATGAGGTTAGTGGAATGATTGTCTCTGGTTCTGTACACATACCTGATTCATCTATAATAATCTGAAATACATGGAATTTAAGATCAAACGTGGTCTTCAACGACCGGTATATCTCTACATATGAAATCAAACACTGATGTCGCTGATCACAAAATATATCAACACAAGATTGTTGCAGATACTGGATTTGCACAGGATTTAGTGTTTGACTGAAATAACACACGTTTAAAAGAAAATCAAACTGTACGAATGATTACCTGTTTTATGTTTTTACATTTCTTTAGTATAGCACTACCACTAACGACACAGGTACTAAGAATGATATTGGCTTTCTTCAGTTCTTCCCCTTTAACTTTGTTAATAAGCGCTTTATATCTATCTATTTCCTCATCTGATATGTCTTTTTGTAATTCATCTTTCACATATCTCTTTAAATCGGTTATGTTTTGTTGTATTAAATTTTCTCTTTGACTATTATCTAAGCCTGTAAGTTTTATATACATATCTACCAACTCATTCACGTCATCTGGAATTGATGGTTGAAACACACGATCAAATTCTTTGATTTGTTTACTATATGTATTATCGGGAGCTCTTATAAGATGATGTAGTGATCTGTCCTTTACAGCCGGGTTCTTGGAAACTTCTGTCGAGGAGCGTTTTGTTGTTAGAATTGAATTTCGAGGCAGGGGGAATTCCATCTGTTCGATCCTTTCACTGTATACTCGAATGATATTCGGACAACTTTCTTTTAGGTTGAGCAGCTTCTCTGAAAACAACCAGTGTTATTAACATCTAGCAGGATACCCGGTTTCGCATGGGGCCCAAATTATACGGTTTCCAAATTCACACGGGCGCAAAGTCGATGTCCTAAAACATTCACGGGTTTTTGCGGGTTATTTGATACCACAGGGGTTTTCTCCGGGTCCTCCGGTTTCCTCCCACTGCTAAAGACCCCTACGCGCAAGCGAATTATTGAAATAAAAAATTAAACCATGTGTTAGTCCCGAAATGACCTAGTTTGTGTCGAGTGGACGTTAACCCACATTTCTCTCTCTCCCTTGTCTGGCGACGAAACGTGATGAGCGAAAATACAAACATACACACTTTGATTTCATTTATATAGATTGGTCTTTCCCCAGTCCCTTATAACTCTCACATAAATCCATTAAGAAGAACATAAATAAGTAAGTAAGGTGATATTTTGCATACATATTTCCTTACACATCATAAGGTGTGTCATAAATTATACAAATTATTAGTTCCAATAATCTTACCAGCAACCACATCCACTGATTTATTAGATGGTCCACAATACAGCACCCGATTTCTGACACCTCGTCTCGAACTATTTCGCTTACAAAAATAGTAGGCCAAATAAACCCCCGTAATAGTTTTACCGGTACCAGGTGGACCTTGAATTAAAGTAAACGGTTCACTCAAGGCAGCCCGTGTAGCTTCCGTCTGTACATCGTTTAATGGTGTCAGGGTTTTACCAGGTATCAAACTACCCAACAGATCATTGACGTCTGTATAGTTTTCTGTTAAAATAACACATAATCTTAAGTTTCACTGTTAATTTGATACTGTTTGCTTAGGAAAAGTCTGTTACTGGATTAATATCTTGCATTAACTGACCTTATTTGTCATACCTAATCCAAAAGTATATGATACAGTAGCTAACAATTAGCTGTTATGCAGACGAATTCCCAGTAAAGAGTGATCGATGAAGAATCATTGCTATTCAATAATTATAATTAACCAAATTTAGGACTATCTCGACATGTGTCGTTCAACTGTCGTAAAAAAAAACAAATTGACAGGCGATTACGTTATTGGCCTCTTTTAATCAGTTGACATCATAGCGGCCGGCCATGTGTAATGTTCGATCGATTCGCCAATAATATACACAATAATCGGAAAACAACATTTTCTACGATGGCGCCTTTTTCCAATTATCACAGATTCAAAACATTATAACGTTGATCTGCACAGATAGCAAAAATATGAAGTAATACAATAGTTCCCTAATTAGATCGTGTAAGATAAATATTATAAAGTGATAAATATTAAAAGGTGATAGCACTTGGTTTCTCTAAAGTAAGGTGGGGTTGGCCCTCTACCGTAACAGAGGTTACAAAATTGTTCAAGACATTCTGATATTTTATTGCCTTTGTCTTGAGTTAAGCATTCAAAATATACATGGATATACTTCACACATACTTATCTTAGACGGCGTCTTTCCCAAACATATATCTACTGTTAACGGTGTAACCACATCTACCATCTCCACAGCTTGTTGACATCTCCTGTAAATAAAGAGTGTTTAGTGTCATCTAATTCTCAATTTTGTTAAATTACATTACTACTGAAGAATAATCACGCAATAAATCTAATCCATATTGAGCAATGGTCTATTGCAAAGCCAACAGCACGGGCGTCTTCATTAACCCAACAGGTATAGAAAGGTTGGACGTTAAACCCCACTTCGCTTCTACCGGTACGAGCTCTACCTTTATATATGCAAGGTATTGGCCCAATTTTATTTTATATGGAGTTATATAGCTACTATATATAACACCAGTTTTTCTACAAAATACACTCCGCTGTAAATTAAAAAAAAAATTCTGAATTTGACTCTTCAGGTTGCCCTTTCCGTGCATCAATGGACGTAGTATCATCATTTAAAAAACCCTTAAAGTGGTCAAACGGATTGGCGGAGAGTGGGGTTTAACATCCTCCCTTTTTCTGTACCGACTGGGATATCACGAAGGACATGCGACATGAAGTGTGATATAAGGGAAATATCTTGTCATGCCTCTGACCTGACCTGCACCACTGATACGGAGAAACCATGCCTGGAAGTCCCGAGGAACTTTCTCGGCCAACACCCAGAGGGAACCCGAGACTTCCAGGCTAGCGAGCCAGCGTTTTATTCACTGAGCCACAGTGACTCCTAGACAGAGCCTCCATAAACTATTAATTAATACATGAACTACGCGAACAATATTTACCTGTTGGGAAGTGATTTTGGTATGATCTCTAAAGATGAAAGCGGCTTTTGGTCTATCAACAGACGAGGGAAGGGCATGCTGTGCTGGTGAAGTTTTATATGTATTTGATCAAATTCTATTTTGTTTACAACACAATGACAAACAAAACATACTGTTTCATTGTGATTGACAACAGCTGCAACCTTCTCATCTAGATCATCTATAATCTGTATGTCAATATCGTTATACCTAACACAAACATAATCTGATACATTTAATTTAATATCTCTTTCCTTACAAAACTCTGCAGTTAACTCAAACCTTCCTTCCATGGTAACATTATTCAAACTCCCAATATCACTTGTGTTCGTCTTTGTCGTTCCGAAATTCTCACACCATGTGATCTGCACACCATGTATAAATATCTGTTCTTGTCCACGTACAGAGGAAGTCACAGCTTCCATAGCTAGAACTGATAACCACAGAGACTTATATTGAATCAGGTTCGTATACGTCTTTTTTGACGCTTGTCGCGAACCTAATACACTAAAGCAGCGTATGGGATCTTGTCTGTGCTCCATACATATGATATGTTTTCGTGTTAAGAAGTACAGTTGTATCTGTGGAACCAATAAACCTCTCTTTAGAACTGGGGCCAACTGAACTTTCACGTGCATATCTGGTCTGTATCTAATGAAAAAATTCCTAAAGAACTCGAGTTTATTGTTGACTCTCAATTCACTGGTTAGTGCTTCTGGATAGTTGTGCCAATGCTCACAGGGCACGTCAACTGATTTTATTGGTTCTTTTAACTCTATATTTGAAGTTTCTTTATTAACATTATAAATCCGCTCCTTCCATTGCAATTTCACAGTAACATCATCGTCATCTGTTAGTGGCCTTTCAGAAGGTGCTAAGTACCTCATTTCTATTGTTCTCTGTGATAATGACAGACATGTAATGTCTGGAAATACAAGAGTTAATGCCATTTCATCTACCGATTCAATTACAGGATAGCATACTAACGGCCTTTTTTTCAGGGCGACACTTAAATATAAGGAGAATACGCTTTTATCGTAACTCTTACTGTTCAATGAGGCAATATTAGATCTATATGCTATATCAACCAAATCAGATTCAGAATACGGAGGTTCTGTATTACTGATACATGCTGACAACATTCTGTGAAGGACAATATCAAAATATCGTCTAATGGGACTGGTAGCGTGCGTATACGGTCGAAGATTGAGTCTGTAATGTGCGTATAATACAGGGTCAAGGGTTGTGGAACAAATGTACAATGACTCATCCTCTATTCGTCTATACGCTGCTAACACTGCAGCTGACTGTGGGTAGTTTTCGAGTGAAAGAAGTAATTGTACGAAACGTTGCCAGTCACCACTATCAACCGAATCACATAGCATTAGCCATACATGAAAAGGCAAAGTAACATTTGGTTCAAACTCTAAATTAGAAACAACATTAAAGTATTTTCTTCTCCATATATCTACCTTGTAATCGTCAGGCGGTCGTTGTATTCTTAACGGGCAGCACTGTGGAAATTTATTCACTAGTAGAGATGCTAGCTTATGATTTGCCATAATCATAAATTCTGCAACCATCAAATGCGCTGCTTTACTATCCCCGACATCAACTTGGTCAAGTAAATGAACTCGACCCATTCGTTTTGTCCTCCATTTCCGGGATATATCAGCTAATAGTTTGATTGAACACGAAATGTCATCAGTAGCATCAGGTCTGTTCAGAATCGATTGCACTTCCTCATAGCTAAATTTTTTTTTTGATCTAATAATTGATTTGCAAACCTCACCTGTGATAATTTCGTAAGTTTCGTTCACTGTAAGCAAAACTGACATCGCACGTCTGTCCACATTTGGCAACAAACTGCACATGGACGTAGAAAATGTAGGCGGCAACATGGGGATAGGACTAGTACCGATCTGATAGTATGATGTCCCTCTCTTGTATGCTACTTTGTCCAAATCTGAATCCTTATCAACAAAGTGTGATACATCCGCAATATGTATTCCTACAATGAAAGTGTCATTGTATCCTTTCTCTATACTGAGTGCATTATCTAGGTCTTGTGAATTTGGCGAATCAATGGTGAAGCAAACTGTTTCCGTAAAATCCAATGTATTTATGTCTTTAGAAATATCGGAATGTTTATAAGTTTTCAGGAATTTGTCGTTGAACTTCGTTTGAATATGATGCTCAATATTTATGATGGACATGCCGGTCTCTATATCATTTCCCACGGGTTGTACGTCAATGACAATTCCTAGAGGCAACTTAAAGTTATTTTTCCATTTCAAGTATTTCACCAAAAACAGTTTTCCTATAGGATCTTCATAATGATAATTGAGAATTCTATTATTTTGAAATTTATAAACAACAACTCGATCATGCCTATGAGCCTTTCCTAGATTCCAGATGGGAGGAACAGATAAATTGATCGGGATCATCAGACATGTATTGGTTGGTATTGTGCGACAAACAAAGTTTGTTAATTTCGGATTCAATGCCCGTCTTAAAATACCCACAACTTCTCCGTATATTTCAACTGGTTTGTCCTCACACGGAATGTTTTTAGATTTAGCTGAATTTGGTAAAATTTCTATAACAACTTCATCGTTATGGAAAGCTCGACCACAAGACCTCTGGCTTCTAATTTTTATTTTTTTTATGGTTGAGGTAAAATCAATGACTGTAGCATATTTGACTTCTAAACTCGAGTGCAAGGTACAGTGTTTGTATTTTTCGGGATGATCTTGTAGTTGTTTCTTCAAATATTCCTTTTTAAATTCCTTTCTTAATTTAGAGACACCGATGTCTTATCTTCATCTTCGGAAGAATCATTCGGATTATCATTTGCATCGTTTTCAGTTAATAGAACCCTTTTTGATTTCTTTGTGCTTACGGGATATGAAACGGCCCGCCCTCTTTCTTTCTTAACTTTGTATATGGTAGTATCTGGTCGTTCTTTTTTCTTATCGGTAGACTTCTCTTGTGTAAGGTGCGAGATATTGGATGTAGGACATTGAAGCATTTCTCCTAGTTTTTGTATAATTTCATCAGGATTCATTCTAAAATCGTCCCAGTTGTCGTAGTCATCGTTTTCAACTGGTTTCGATGCGATTTGTATTCCTTCACCTGACAGCTTTAGCTTCTCCATATCTGAACCTGATTGATGATCTGTGTGTAAAATGGAAGGTTGTGCTGGTCTTGAATACGGTATATGATCTACTTTACACGCTTCTTGTTTAATACCTAAGCTTTTCTCTGATAATTTCCTTATTTCTGCACCTAACGGTGACGATTCTCGCCCCTTCACGGCCTCTTTTATTTCCTTATACGATAAAGCCGAAAGTGAATCTAAACTGTGACACTGTTTTATATATGCCTTCCATATACCACGACATTCCCCTATTGTACATAGTGCTATAGGATCTCCAACAACTGCTACAAGAGACTGGGCGCGGGTTAGAGCTGTATTTAACATGTTGGGTTCAGAGAGAAAGCCATATTCTCCCATATTAATATCTTCTAACCCCTGTAAACATTTCTTCATATGATCGCCTTCACACAATTGTAGTGTCCTAACAGTGCTGATGAATAAGACTCTGAACTGTTGACCTGAAAGCAGATTGAACGCATTGTAAAGACTTGTAGATATAAGACTTTTTATATTGGGAAAGCAAATCCAAACAGTAAAAGTCTGCATGTGAAAACTGTAAATTATTCCCTCCATTAAATACAAAAAAGGAATATAGTCTTACCTTGTATATGGTATATTCGTGCTACATGCACATTTCTTAGGTTTTTCATTCTCAACTTGCTTTTTATCCGCGCAACTTGTTGTGAATATGTGGCTACAACTTGGATATCTTCTGGTTTCCTCTCACCCCATTCCTTTGGCCAGTTGTTTAAAATAAATGAAACACCATTTACTATTTCATCTGCTTCTTCCTCGTTGTAGAAAGACGTACTGTCATTGGTCTGTACTTCCTTACCAAACACAGAGAAAAAGTTCATAGGATTTAAAGTTATATTTGGCACATTTGATCTACAGATTAAATGATCTTCATTGCCATAAATTGTAGCTGAAATGAACTTTAATAGTTGGCACTGAGAACGATAGTTTTGGTTTAGAAATATACTGATACTTTCATAGCTGTGCTTTCTTTCTTTACAGTATCTTTCATAATAGGTATGTAATCGTACCAGAATGGATTGGTTGAACTTCTGACGTTTTGCTTCCGAACTGTAAATTTTAGGATTCATTTGTCTATGATCGCCTGTTAAAACAATACACGTCTTGGCATCTGCCAGTATTAGCGGCATTAACGCCTGACATTCTAAAGACTGCGCAGCTTCGTCAAGAAATATATGAGAAAAAAACCCTTTAATTTTCTCGATAGTTGTCAAATGTATGGCTGTCACAACGGTCGTTATAAGAATTCTCTTCTTCAAGAGGTCATCTTTAGTTGGTAAATAAAACGAATCCCTATCTTTAGAAAATAATATATACGGGTGACATTCTGTAGGCACAGTATTAAATCTTTTATTGGGAGCATACATACGAAGAGCACGAAATTGTTCTCCCCTGTGTCTTAAGAACTCTCCCAGATATTTGATATAGTATATGTCAGCAGCACTGAAAAGATAAATTTGCGGAAAACTAAACAAATAATATCCATTCAAATGTAATTCAAATGTCCCAAATCTTCATATTTACGGTATCGAACAACCCAACTACTGGTGTTATTAATTAATATGAAATCCGCATTAACAAACAATTAGCAAAGGCAGGAAATGGGATGGAGGTGTCAATTTAAGTGACATATCAAAAGCCATCATAGTGAGGGTTGCAATATGTCAATACTGATACTATTACATATTTAAAACACCAGTTACTTAAATGGTTACTTCACGGAAAAGTCTTAACAGGGGGAACACTTTAAAATTGCCATTTGCATATACACGGAGACATAATAATATAGCTTAGAAATTCCTCATACAACGTCAAATGCCTTACGCTATCAAATAGTCTATATCAGTAGTAACGCTATCAAATAGTATATATCAATAGTAAAACTCCTTAGTATTAAATCCATTTCAGCGACCACTGAACCGATTTACTTTATTTAAATGTTAACAGTATTGTGCCCCCATTTTACCTGTTAGTATGAGTACAGATGAGAATACGTGAGTGAGGTTGGTGTTGTAACAGGTATTTCGTAGCCTCAGCCAATGTTTCTGTTTTTCCTGTACCAAATGGTCCATACACTATCAATGGTGGCGAACAATTCTTCCTTGTTATCATATGTTTAACTGCCCTTGTTTGATCTCCATTTAATTTATCAAACCTATTGAAATATTAACTTTAAATAGCCAGGCAACAAAACATAAGATCACCAGCAACTTCAGTGTTAAGGCAAACAATTTAAAAATATTATTCATATGCTTCATATAAACTTGCTATTGGAACGACTATAATTTGACTCAAATCTCTGAAATAAATTCTGTAAACGTGTCATTTTGTACAAACAGTAATACCACTGCCTACCTGTGTTGTGTAATCGATAATATTTATCCATTTTTATGAAGAAAACCTTTGAATTATTTTTATTTTATCAAGAAAGCATACGTCAAAAAAAAAAACTATCGCTGAATTTTTCACCGATTTTCAAGGGATATGTTTAACAACAAAGCGACAATGGAAAATAGATACTAGATGATCGTGACAAAACTCGGCTTTGAGGATACCACATTTAGTTTATTCAATCAGTATCAAATAATGTTTTCTTATGTGTGACAACAATGATCAGGCATTATGTTATGAAAATTTCAGTCAAATTACTTCATTCACAGCCGAGTTATCGCCGTTAGAAGAACAGTGTAGTCACGATTGTCACTGCTACTGTTGTTAAGATAATAAAGTCTCTGATTATCCACTGTATGTTAAATTAAATCATTAACTGTCAATCGTATTTAAATCTGTTGAAAATCTCGGGCATCCGATGGCATCGGGAGTTGATTGTGGTCTTGGCAAGTTAATAAATGTCTAATTAATAATTTATATAACATTTAAGGCATAAAGATAGACCTGCAATAGGCATATTTAGCTTTGGAATAATATCTCTTTAATGAAACAATATAAATTAACAGATTGTCTCTGGTCGATTGTTATTTTCACAGTTCTTTGTACCTGATCGGGAGGGGGCTGATA